GAAAGTGTTATCTCTCGCATTTAATATGAAGTTACGTTAGTGTGTTTCTCGTAACTTTGGTGATATTCGGCTCGGCGCAATATACATATAAAACATTCCAGAGAGATTTGTTGGAACGTAAGGAACTGTTCCACGCAATACGGATTGACATTTCGTCGGATTGGTGTAAGCTTAGAAGATATTTGCGCTTTTCGATGTTTGAAAGTTCCAAAGTTATTTCTCCCAGAGTTTGTGATAGACACGGCGAAATAAACGTCATTTCCGTATTGTTTAAACTGGTCCAGTTAGAAGAATAGATTTTCTTTGCTTGTACTTTTATCAGATAACGTATTGCGCGTTTAAATAGCGTAATGGTGATTATCTTAATTTTTTCCTACTAGAAAGTACTGACAGCAGTCTTGTGAGAAATTGTATAAATTTTTGTGCGTTTTGTGCAATTTTGTACAAGCAATTCGCATTAATTATAAATACGCAACGGCAGCTCGAGTATTGTATATTAATAGGGACGTACGGTTGTTTTAGACGGATAATCAATTCGGTTCGAGTTGACGAACAATCACTATTTATAATCTAATTTTATGTACTTTACAAAATACGGACAGCTACAAAGTATTAGTTGTAGTATTATGTACTTAGCCGAACTTTTCTCGCGATTATGTATTAATCTACAGTATTTCCGACATAATCTCTCTCTTTCTTATCGCAATCAGTGTAACTAGTCATTGTAATTGTATTTTGAAGTTGTACCATTGTCATTTTAATAGCGATACGATTCCATTTTCCTTCATCTCACGATGTGCTAAAATTAACAAATTGGACAAAATTCTCCATCGTACTTCGCCATCAGCGCACTCGCCTTTTCAACACTTCTATCTCCAGATATCTCTCCGTTTGTCTTTGTAACTTTCTTTAAAGATTCGTGTGCTCTGAAGAGAAGGAAAACGTTGCTGTGCCGCTATTAAGATAGTGCCTCTGCTCAATGATACGTTCATCGTCGTTCTGTTGCAATGCACAATTGGAGATGTACACGGTTAATACATCGACCCAAAGTACTTCCACCGCCTCGATTATGCCAATCAAAGCGTATGATCGACAAATACGCTCATGAAAATGCGGAGGACATGTACAATTAACATTTTCGACGTTTAAACGTGAATTATATGTATCGTAGCGACGGACGTGATTAGATAGTCGCGCCTTGTGCAGCTGTCACGCTTCTTTTGTACCTTATGAAAACAGTACACCGTTGTATGAATAATCTATGAGCGTGTCTGTAGAAAGTATCCAAAGCGTGAGTCGTGTGCAAGTGAATACACAACATGCAGCTGCGCAAAACGCGAGATGCATACGCTGTAAGATCGTTGTAGGACGAAGATCCTTCTAATGATCGTTGTACATATAGACAAAAAAAAATAAGCGCTGAATCATTATTACTGTTTAAATAGCGACTACTCACATACATTCCTTATACAGCTAATGTTGTGTTATACGATATCCACGAGGCTTCTCCGAAAGATATTGACCACATAAAAATCTGGATTTGCTTCGTGGATGTCTGCGCCGTATTGCACCAATAACGAGTTGTAAGCATTTCAATTCGCAATGTGGGGTACCGAATCAATTCGAAAAGGTGGGCAATTTTCTGCTACCTTCTTTTAAATAATATAATTCAGGCGATATTAAGAGAGAAGTATTCGTGTACCTCGTACTGCGTGCTGTATTTGCCCTGAATGTACATACGGATCGCTGAGTAATGAATTAAAACGCGACGCACGTAATCTTAATTTATTAGCATTACGAGATGACGGGAAACGCTCGAATTTAGTTTGAATCTGTGAATTTTAATCAAAGTTACTTACACTGTCTTTACATCGCATTCGAAGCAATCAAAAACGTCTCGTTTGTACTGTATCAACCTCATGTAGCGTATAACGGAGTCACGGATTCTTTTATCTTCTTCGTCGTGAAAGCCGCTTCTCGTTTACACTATTTTTCCTGAATGACGATCATCAGTATTGTAAATGTACGCTGTGTGTGATGTACATGAAATGTGTTAGAGGAAAGAGAATTTCTTTGGTGGTTTTCATCGCGAACGACTCGTTTACCCAAGCGGACAACTTATAAAAATATGAAATAGAGTTTTAAACTATTTCGTATAAAAACTGTGTAAAAACGTATAAAATTTTAAACGTTTATATTTCAATTTATACATTCATTAAACATATTTCGAACGCAACTGTATTGCTCAGATAGTTATAATGAAGAATAAAAAAGTCAACCACCAATAGAAATCCTCTAGCAAATAATTTTACAAACGATGGAGATGCATGAAATTTTTCTTAAGCTTTAAAAAATGTGGATCCATCGAATTGACGTTCTTGCAATGATAAAACTTGCAATATTAATTGACTTTTCTCTTTTTACATTCGCAATAACTTTATTGAATTAATAGATAATAATCTGGCTTTTTTATTACAATTATCTCTTTCTTACAACACATTTAATGAATATATCTCTCTACACTGTGCGAAGGTATTTCTGCGGTGCTAATATCACGTACTTAAATACGTTAAATAAGTGACACATAGAAATTCAAAATGCTTCCAAGGTAATCGAGAGAAAACGCGAGGAAGAGTGAAAGAGAGAAAATGTTGGATGAAGTTAGTGAATGCTGATATTCGAGAATAATTGTTCATATATATATATATATATAATAAGCTATTATTGTGTATGGCGTATCCGTCGCCGACAGTGCTAGTCTAAGCTATATTTATTTTTTATATATATAACAAACACTTTAGCATAGAGATTAAGGAGATAAGAATCCGATTTTATACTTTATTAGAGAGCATTTATGAAATATGTTTGACTCGTTGGGCAAAACGTGTATATGAAACGTGTGTTCAGAATAATTCTATATATATATATGTATACATACAAGATAAATTACGTTGTATCATATCAAACGCAACTGAGGTCTCTTTATATAATATCAATCTATAAATATATTTCACTGTAAAGAAAACTCAATAAATTTATCATGTATCTCGTTCGTATAATATTATATATTAATAATATATACCAATGACAGTAATTTGTGATTTTTTTTAGATATCTTATTATATACAACTCCAATTTATCAGACTTAAAAAGAAATGAATTTCTTCCTTTAAACGATTAACATTTTTAATTAATGTTATACAATAGTCAATTCTTCTCATTCTTTTAATTCTTTTCTCTCTGCCATTTGTTACATATACGACACACTTTGGTACAAGATAAATTTATGAAATTTATGTGAGGGAAATAGCATACGAATGTGGTTCGTAACGCGAGACTCTCTCTAACACCTGTTTTTATGTAATATACAATATGCAACTCACATTTACAATATAGTCCTCACTAGTTTAGTTAGATCTAACGAGAGTGGACATTAAGACACTGAAATAAAAAAAAAAATACTCATCGTGAAACATATGATGGAGGATTTTGCCCGTTGCTCTCTGAACTGCTGTTTCTTATGATGTCGCATTTAAAAGGTGTAAATATACTTTACGACGTAAACAGATTGTATCGAGATTGCATGCAGCTTGCGCGATTTAGCAAATTGTACAATAACGACCACGACCAAGACGATTAATTGTAAACGAATTGTCTATTCGATGTACACACATTCTGCGCTGTGGTAGCTCCTATTTGTACGCTTCTGGCGTGTGTAGAAAGTTTAATGTATTTCATAAATATAAAAACGACTTATTGGCGCGGGGCTATCACAGTTTGGTACATACATATACATAAATATGCAAAATTAAAATTTTTCTTTCTGTCAGTATTCCTTTGTAATACATGAACTGTAAAAAAATGTAGGATGTAACAGCAATTTATCAGGTCACAGGCAATTTATTTAAGCATGGAGTAATTCTGTAGTTTATAAGTATGTTAAGCTAAGTGCAATGTGTTCCACGTGTATTTAAGTGAGACAAATGAATCGCTTCAGTGCGCGCCTTAAAGTAAACGAGAAACATCGCAAAAATCCAAAGCTTTCGACGGGAAAATTCTTCAATGTAATATAACTTTTGCGCAGCGATTTTTTGCATAAGTTCGGAAGTATTCACTTTCGATCCGCGGGAATCTAATCTTTTTTTTTTTACCGATGTAGGCAACGAACGTAGATTGTCAAGAGATCCTACAGGATCGGTTTTTATCTACGAGCGGGAAGAGAGAAATGATTATTATATAATAAACGAATGAATATTAATTTCACGATGGATCCCCGAAAACTCGATTGTTTAAAAGCGAAAAATATATCGTAATAACATATTCTGTCTTCGATTCTTTTAATGTGTTGTCTTTATTCCTAATAACTACAAAGAGAGAAATTCAAAAAAAGTGTTTGTATGATGTCTGACCTGCACTAAAAAAGTTCATGTATTTTTCCAAGTATTGTACATTACACTATAAATATTAATTATATAAAAATTATAAATAATAACTGGAGTATACATAAAAATGATAATAAGAATAATAATAAAATAGGTTTATTATTTTATTATTTTAGCATATATTGTATTATTATGATAACATTTTATGAACTATAAATCGTTATATTTACTCTTATTTTTACTTTTACTCTGATCATAATTTTATTAATAAATAATTTCAAATAACAGTATCAATAAGTTTTAGCTCTTTGAGCGATTATTTAATGTCTTCCACATTCCTACGAAATATGATAATTCTTAAACAATTTAGAATGGTTTAACAATATAACTCAGTCTATAAAATTATTTTTATGTTAGGCAATCATAAATTATATTTTATATATATTATAAATTATAATATATATTTTACAAGAAAGTAAAAAATGCGATTTTCTGATGTCAAAACAACGAAAAATATTTAAAACGTCAGAATATTTTGTAACCGCTATTTTCATTATTCTTGTCACAAAATTAATGTCACGAATTGTTTAATATAAACACGAGGTCATAACAGTAAAATTTTTCGTTTTTATTATATCATTTGTAATAAATGGCTCGACAGTAAATTGGATAACATTAAGAAATGAAATATGGTTACTTACGATTGCAATTGCAAGGATATTACAATCACAGAAGGAATATTTGGAGAAATTTATGCCGGTGTTTTGTTACTTCATAAGATAGCCTGACTTCTGTCGATGATAAAGTAATGTAAAAGCCGTTTTAATTACAGAATCAGCGGAGGATAAAATACGCCGCTATGGCAACAAAACATATTACGAGGATGCTGAAAGTAAAGGACTCCGATTAATGCCAGTAAAATCATACACGATGATTAATAAGAATGGCCTAGAGGTCATCGTTATTTCCTGGGGTGGGACGATCGTTTCTTTAAAATTTCCCGACAAGTTTGGGTGTGTCGCAGATGTTGTGCTGGGTTTCGATGATTTGAAGAGTACGAACTCTTGACGTAATTACATATTTATTCATCATGTTCATTTAATCTCCTCGATTTTAATTAACTTTATAAATAATTAATAGGAACGATTCACATTTTTTTTTTCAGGCTATACAAATACCAACATTAATCCATTTATTGGATGCATATTAGGCAGATGTGCGAATCGCATAAGAGACGGCAGTATTGTCATTAAAGGCAAAACTTATGAGTTAACGAAAAACTATCTCGGCAAGCATCATCTGCACGGAGGTGTAAGTCCGTCTTATCAAAGAATTAACAAATTCATATTAAACATCTTATACCAAACATTTCCCTTCGTTTCAGACAAAGGGCTTTGGCCAGCGATTGTGGGAATCGCATATTGACGGCTGCTCAGTCGTCATGACTTATCTAAGCGAAGACGGTGAAGAAGGATATCCTGGTGCAGTATTAAATACAGTGAGATTTAGATTGATGCCTGATAATAGACTAGAAATAGGTATTCGAGCGACAACGACGAACTCCACTATAGTGAATATCTCGCATGGTTCTTTATTCAACCTCGCTGGACATGTAATTAATATACATTCTGTACAATGTTAGCACAGTTGAAGCTGGAACCATCCTAGAATCGCGGTGAATAATTTAATAAATATAATATTTTCTCCTTTTTTTATTTTTATACCAAAGAAGGTATGGTTCTAGTTTCAGTAAGAATTATATAACAGGTCTACTTATTTGGATGTAATTATAGGACGCTGGTAAAAACGAATTGATGAAGCATAGGATCTCATTGAACTGCGATCGCTGGACCTTCGCGGATTATACGGACCCAATACCAACCGGCAGCATCCGAGGGGTTGGAGGAACCATTATGGATCTGCGTGTACCAAAATTTCTGGAAAGCTGTATCGAGAAGGCATCAAATTGAAGTTCATGCAAATTACAATAGTTGAATCATGATCTAATAATTGTGTAAAAAGACATTATGAATTTGCGTAAGCTGCAGGTTCCTCCAGGAGAAGGGTACGACCATAACTTCTGCGTCACGCCAAATTGGCACGGGGGTAACGCGTACGTCGCTCAAGTGGTTCATCCGAAAAGTGGTCGGTAAGGCTCACAATTGTATTATTTATAGTACAGGTTCACTGTAGCAATATTCTGGAATTATAAATAAATATATGCAGCGTTTTGGAGATTTATTCGAATCAGCCTGGCGTACAGTTCTACACAGGCGGTCGTCTATGCAATACCTCCGAGGTACTGTAAATGCGATGATAATCGAGATACATAATAATCCACCTCGAAAAAAATACAAAGAATATATCGTTATCATAGACTGCCAATAACCCTGCTGCTACATATGATAGCTCAAATCATGAAGAGGAATACGAAGAAGAAAAGGCGACTGATAAGATGGAACAATATGTGGCACCTGAAGGTGAATCGCAGGAATTTATTTCAGGGAAGCAAGGTGCTCGCTACGTGAAGCACTGTGCTTTCAGTATTCAACCTCAAAACTATCCAAATGCTATTAATTATGTGAGTAGTAAATCGACACATTGCAGGATTATAATCCTTACTGTATTTGTCATTACAAGATAATTTTTTTTCAGTCGCATTTTCCTTGTTCTATTTTACGTCCCGGAGAAGTCTATTGTCACGATATAATTTACAAATTTGGCATCCAATTGTCTAATTACATGTGACGCGATTCTAAATTAAAAAACATCAAACTTGTATTAATATAAAAAATAATTCGGTCGTGATATTATAATTATGAAGTATATCAACTAAAAACACAAATATATCCTTAAGTAAAACATTTTTGTTAAATTATCATATAGTCGATCTAATATTAGAAAAATTATTACAGATATTATTAACGATTATTAATAATTTTGTAATACTCCCTAATTAATCTATCGATTTATTATCACAGATTAAGCTTTCTTAATTCTTTTTGCTGCGAAAAATTTTGCAATGTTACCAACTACAGAACCAAATGAATCGTTGATCGTCACAGAGCGTTGAATCCATTGAGGCAATACTTTGACTTTATGACAATAACGTTTATCTAACAGTACAACCGTCGAGTAATCATTGATGTGACGAACAGATCGGCCAATACATTGATTTACTGCTTTCATGCAAGAATTTTCATAAAAATTATTTCCAGCGTCTGATTTCTACAAAAACAAGAAAAAAATGAAAAGTATTAAAATTTATATATATAACATTAAACTATATTCTCTAAATTCTGTAATAAAGACATCTTAATATACGTACAACATTTTCGTTTAAGTACTTCATTTTTTCTTGTAATTCTGGTGATTTAATGTTTGGGTATGGCAAGCCAACGACTATGACACATCGGCCCAAATCGTCAGAGAAATTTAAGCCTTCGCTTAATTTACCGCCTATAAAATATCATATAAATTAAAATAAGATTCAACATTTCTGAAAAAAATTTCATTAATATAAATAGAATATACAAATAGGATTTTTATGATACCGATACAACTTTAATTTACTTACCTACTACACTGAACAACAATGCTCCGTTACACGGGGATTGTGGATTCTTGATGGAATGTGCATATTGATCTAATATTGTATTAACCTATACACAGATAATATTAATTAATTTAAATTAAATAAATTAAGTAAGTAATGTATTAGTTATTTATTAGTAAACTTCAACAAAAATACCTGCGATGCTAATTTAGGTTCACGATAGATACGTTTCTTTGTAGAAATTTTGGATATAATACCAGATTTATTTAAATGCTTAAATACTGTGTCCTCATAGTTGTAAGATGGGAAAAACACTACTATTCCAGCTGGTACAACATTACATAAATTTAATAATGCTCTACCTAATTCATCTAGCTAAAATAAAGAATCGGTCTCTGTTGTACTTTTTTTAAGTACATACATCTTTAAACAGTATAACAATTAAAGAGATAAAAATGCTATTACCAATCTTGTATCTTGTCGATTATGAAAATTAAATTCGAATTCGATTCCAGTCGGTCCACGTGTTGCAACGTTGGATATGATATTTTCTTTAGGAATTACATGGTCACAGGAAAATGTCATAATTCTATCTGGCGTAGCACCTGCCATTAAGAATAATTGATCTACGAATTCGGACATTGGTTCCATTGTGCCACCGGCTAGTACCACGGATCTGGCATCTTTCACTACATTTGTAATAAAACATTCAAAATATTCAATGAAATAAATGTAATAAAAGTGAGAGAACGCATGACAAGTTTCAAATAAGTATTTGCTTACCAATGTCGTGAAAATGTGCTGCTGGGTTTAATAATAGAAATTTTATAATCCCTTGTCCAACAGTAGTGTTAGGTAGAACACATATTCTACCATCTGCACAGCTGTTCTTTAAGCACTCCAAGAAACTTAAGATCGCCATCAAAGGATTACTCGTCTGTTCTTCATTATTGCTTGGAGTGTCCACAGTGCTAACAATTTCTTGAGAGGATACATCATTGTTTTTAATCGAGTTTAAAAATTCCGTTATGCCAGATTTTTTAATCTTCTGTTCATTGATTTTAATATTATTGCCATACTGTTCAACAAATCCTTGTAATTTATGAATGAGTTTTGAAGTTTTAATGAATTCTAATAGTTTGAATATGTTTACTGTATCGATCTCTGTAAGCACTTCAAAATCTTCTAATTTATATAATTTAGGTGCTATTGTTTTATCGATCTCATCATTGGGATGAGATTTCGTTGTTGCTCCAAAGAGAGTCAGAAGTTTCTTCAAACAAAAACTCAATTGGCCTAGATACATCACGCTTTTAGCAGAGAACAATGATTCAAATCTACAATCAGATTACTTTCAGTCAAAAATTTATCTAGCAACTTAATAATAATAATAAAAAAAAGTGCAGCAATACCTTTTCTGATATTGCGACAGCTGACTGTAACAGTGGAGCAAATTTCTTCCGGTAATTACAGAATTGTGCATTCTTTCGATGGCGTCCAGCAAATTGTGGGCTTCATCTATTATTAATATGTTTCCTTTTAAGTCTATCCCTAAACTGGCTCTAGTATTCTTATGAAAAATAGAATTGTATGGTACTAATATTAATTGACCATTTTGCAGAGATTTTCTCGAGCCATAATATGGACAAGTATTACTTTCTTGTCCTCTCTGCGTTATTTCCTCAATATCTTGAATATTTGTTAGAACCTCAGCCATTAACAGTTTCTGATCACCTGGTATAAATGGGCAACTACTTGCGGTTTTTGATCTTTTTAGATCCTTTTCTTTCTTAACAGTAGTCTTTTTTCTTTGTAGTTGAAGACAGGTTTCATTAATCAGACTGATATGCTTCAACTTCTTGACATTTTTGTTGATGCAGTAATTTTGCCTAGAATGAAATAAAATGTTAATAAATTTTAGCTAGACGATATATTACATTAAAAATAAATGAAATACCTTGATGAGAGTGGTACTACAGAAATCTCTTGAGAGTAGGGAGATCTTTTCAATTCATGGACGAACTGTGTTAACTGAGAATGTGTTCTGGAGCAGAAGAAGATTTTAGTACTCTTAAATAATGGTTCATCTGTATCTTCTTCCTCAGAACTTTCTGAATTTGACAAACCATCTTCCAAGATAAGATTCTCGATACCACAAACGTCAGTGTTTATTTCCTCTATCTTATCCGATTCTGGAACTCTTTTAGTAAATTGTTGCCTTATTTTTCCAGATGTTTTCACCTTTTTTGATTCAACAATTATTTTTCTAAGCTTTTCTTTTTGGCTTTCATACTCAAGCAATGCGTTTAGCTTGGCTTGTAATGGTTGTTTCTCAGCATTAAGCTCTATCTGCTCTGTCTGTACAGTAAACCAATTATCAGATAGCTTCTCACAGTTTTTTAATTTATCATCTATTTTAGTGATTGCTGAAAGTAACTCTTCCTTCCTCCATTTCTCATGATCAATCAACCATTTAAGCGCACCACAAATGAGGGACAAAGATTTTCCAGTCCCTGTGGGACTTTCGAATAGGCCTAGCTTACTACCTTCCAAACAATCATAGAGATTTTTCATAAATCGCTTCTGGATTTCGTACGCTGGGAAAGGAAATGGAAATTCCTGTGGGGGTTCCATTCTGTGTTTCCCTTAAGACTTTTTAGAATGTGAAGTCCTAAAAAGAGAAAATAACATTCTTATATACATATATAAATCTCATGCAGAAATAATCTACAATAAGTTGTGGAATTGCATACATGCATAAGTATTACATACATAACGATAATACGCAACATAGAACATTATATGTATGGTATATATTATAATAATAAATCGTCAACCTGTCATTCCCTATAAATTCTGTATTTTGTTTTCTGCTTTGCATTCCTCTGCTTCCAGCAACGTCTTGCTGAAATGTTTCCCGCTTTAAATATTACCAACTATTACTAGTACTAGGGAGTTAATTTTTTTCCGTAAGATAGACAAAGAAAACACGCATAACAAACAACACGCGTGCCTCCGTCAGTAAAATGGCAAAAAATCGAAATATGAAGTCACGTTTCAATGATAAAATAGAAAAAGAGAGAGATGGAATTATCGCACATTACAAAATGTCCTAATGAGTTTTGGGGAATGCATACACAAAACAACACATTCAATAGTCATTTATTTACTTTTTGCTACATCTCTCAATACAAATAACATCAAAATTTATATAAAAATCGATAACTCTAGTTATTTACTAGTTAGCCACATATTGATAATCAATTAATCAGTATATAGTCCTCTGCCGGAATAATTGTATATTACATTACAGATTCCTTTTTTTTTTTATTACAGAAAGATGTAGATGTCACTCCTATAGTCGCTTGTTTTGCTATCTAACCTCAAACTGTCCTATTTGGACACAAATAGGCATAACGGTTGTAATCAAGTTAATTATTTATTGTCTTTATTTTTATTATAGGAAAATGTTATTATTATAAAATCAATATATATCAACGTGTATATGTATGTACAACAATTATTTAAGCTGTATTTTTCTTCTTTTTTTCACGACTAAATATTAACCTCTCTGAAAGTAATTTGTAAACATTGTTTTTACTTATGTTTATAGCTGACCGGAACTTGTCAAGGTCACAATAAATTTAACAGACTCTAGTTGTGAATTCTACGTGGATATAAAAAAGTAGAAATCATGAAAGAGCTTTTGAACCAAGCTGTGGGGTACAGTAGTTCATTTGTCAATAACAATAACAACCGAGATGCAGGGACCAGCAGTATTACAAACGATAATAATTCGAGAAGATATGCTATGCTCAGCACTGAATGGGTCTCTGCTATCGGCGAAGAATTGGGCATGCATCCCTTACCAGATCCTCTGTTAAAAAGATTAGCCGAAGATGCTTCCTATCGTTTAAGAGAAGTTTTGCATGTAAACACAATGTGATTCCTATTTAATATTTGAGCTTTTGCAATTTGAATTTTTCTCAACAAAGATTGAGAATTTTATCCTTAAAGTATATCAAGTTCAGATTAACAAAGGTTTTTCAAAAGATTAATGATTTAAGATTTATAATGTTGATCATCCTTATAAAATGTTGCTTATTCTTTCTCAGAAATGTGTTACAAGACTGAGACATAGTAAGAGGAAACGTCTTACATCTGTGGATGTAAATGCAGTAATCACTAGCTTGTGCGATGCTGATCCAGTTTTTGGTGCATCAGAATCCTTACCAGAGTATCATGCGGAAGCAAAGGTGTATGTACCTAGCGAATCTATTGTTAATCTTGTTAATCAAATGAATGATCCATTGTGTCTAACACAAACTAATGTGCCATTTCTGCAAGGTAAGTTCTTTCAAAATTTATATGTAGATGAGTCTTAATTTATGAATTTTATAAAACTTAATTTTAATTTGTGGAATTGCTGTTAATTTCTTGATACATCCAATCCGTTAATTTTGTGTTAAAGTTCTTTTTTTTTTTTTTTAGAATCTGAGATATGTGATTTGAAGCTCACAGAAGCACGTCATAATTATGCCAAACGTGCGTTGAAAACTTTGTTTAATGGCTCGCAAAAAACCTTTCAGGTATGCAGAAATATGTATATATATAATTACGTTTTAATATTATTATTATGAAATATAAATACATTATTTTTTATATTTTCAGGTCTTACTTAACGACTGTGCCACTAATGTTCATTTAGGCGATGAGGGAGTTATCGATAAATTGATGTCCATTGCTAGGTCTATGGTAATCTCAAATAATGCACAATATACACGTGTTTCCACACGGACGTGTCAACTCATAATTGCCATTGCCAGTAACAGCGAAGCTGTCTACCCCTATCATTTAATTTCGGTAATTAAATGCAAAATAATGATGTACATCTTACATAAATGTGTACTCAAAACGTTTAAATGTTAAATCTTTATTTAAAGGTGGATAAATTAACGGAGTTATTGTTGGAATTACTGTTGGGTCAGAGTTTCATACATCCGAATTTAGAAATACTTTTTAAAGAGTGCGTGCTCAAATTGATGCTTCGCTGGCCATCAATTGCCGATAAGTAATATGAAAATTTAAGCAAATTTTGTAATATAATCAAACAAAATTTTTATGAAAAATTGATTCTATGAATATTAATGATCAGGTATGTACCAACATTGGAGAATGTTCTTTTAAAGAGTGAAATGGAAAGCATTGAGCTCTATAAAAAAAGGATAATGGCGGTGGAATTGTTAGCGAGTATTCAGCCTCTTATATTTTTTCAATATGATACTACGCACATACTTTCCATACAAAATATTCTGTATTATTACGCTTCATTTGGTTCAGTTATTTGGCAGCGAATAGCTGTTAGTATCAATATTATATTCTAATCCTTAATATATGGTTCTTTAATTAATTTTCTTGTAATTATTATAGCTGGCTGTTTGTGGCCTTATGAAATCACAGGGTTCTTTGAACCTCGCCCCTTTCATTGAACATTACGGAGATTCATTATTACCTTATATACCTACTAATCGTGATGATATTGCAAAAGAGAGAAGAGATAAGAAAACTGGCACACTACCTATCATCGTTAAAAGCAAGATAAGGTACGTGGAAGTCAGATCACTGCTTAACACCAGAATGCTATGGGATCGACAAACGGCGTTTCCAGATTCCACTCTAAGAGGGCCGAGACGAGAAATAAGGTGTGTATCATAATATTAATAAAGCTAACAGTTACATGAATGCGTAAAATTTTTATTATATAATTTAAACGTGATTACAGATTTGCGTTCGCTGGTGGTCGTCCGGTGCCACAAAATAACTTAAGACGTGTCAGTTTAAGAGCTAATTATCAAATTCTAAGAAGCGACCTTCAAGCCACTCTTGCTTTAGTCGCATCGCGTAGATTACTTGTAATTAAAGATAAAAAGAAGGGTCCCTACAACTTTTATAACTTAGCAAATGTTTGTCTGTAAATGTTCTATAAAGATTATAATATATGTATAAGCTTTATTCGAACATTTTAGTGTTACATGTACAACGAGTATTGTCATAATTATTCATTTTGTATTATATTAATTGTAGCTTAGACCGTTTCTATTAATTAAAACTTAAAGAGATTGTCATTGCTTTTCTTTCATAAAACTTCTTTTCTTTTAATAATTTTTAGATACCAACATCTAGTTAATTTTTTCTTATTTTCTGATGTGAATTCCTATTCACATCAATTAGGAAAGAAGTTCCTGAAAGTTCGTATGTAAATCCTTTAAATTAAAATAAAGCATTTTTTTATTTTAATGTAGATTAGGTAAAAAATTATTTATATGTATGTATGTGTTTAGTGAAGTGGAAATTCGGGAACTTTTATAAATATTACGCGAATTACATTTGTACAAATATTTTTTTAAAGACAATCTTGTAAACCCTGTGGTAGCTCCGTATGTACCAAATAATGTGAATTGGGTAGACATCTGAGTCGAGTATGTACTCTAATTGGTAACTAAAAGAAAAAAATTAAAATAACAGTTAAAGAAAAAAATAAAGCATGTTTTTTAATTGTGTATTTCTTTTTTCATAAATTCTAATTTATACTATATTTACCCTTGCTGGACGTCGTCGGCTCAAAATTCCATTTTTGTAAAACAGCATAGAAGCGCCACATTGTATAGTATACAAATCTTCTTTCTAAATAAAAGTTTTCCGTGAATATAAAAATAGGCAAAGTACAATATATTATATTATTAATGCTACTTGCCTCGTTATAATGTCCAAGATTCTCCTCATGTTTGTTTTGCATATGAAACTTATCATCTAAAGATTCTAAAGATTTATGGTCTTGTAATTGAATATCCTCGTAAATTGAATTGCTGTCTGATTCATTGTTACTATTATCTTCTCGCAACAGTTGTAATATTGATGATTTATTCTTTTTTGTATTTTTTGCTTTATTCACGTCATCCAGCCAATGCAATACATATGCGGTTCTTTTTACTAGTCTTGTTAGTATTTTCACACGTTTTCCAGATACGAAACGTAAGTAATCTTGTATTGGTAAAATGCGTTCGTATTTTGAGAGGGATCTCTCGAATTGGGATTGTTCGTGTAAATTTTTTTTAACGATCGCTTGAGCATCGTGTTCCATATTTTCTGAAGTTCCTTTTATATTTTGCGATTCATGTTGTTCTGCACAGCAGTTCATTCTTGATACAGGCACGACAGTCTTAAGTTCCAATTGGGATTCCTCAATCACTTCATTCTGGATATTGGTGCTAACAATTTCCTGCGTATCATCAGTTATGTCCTCTTCCATATGTTGCGTATAATTCTCTGCGCAGAGATAGTAGAATAAATTAATTACAAATTGTATGGCTGCGTTCCACTTGATGTTCACAACACACGTGAATATTATTTGTCCTTGTTTAAATTTTTTCTATACCGACATTCGATGCCATTTTTAACGTTAAAACAGACCATATTTGATCAAAATTGACTCTAGTCCGGTTTCATCAATGTAAAATAAACTTTATAATCTCGGTTTAATTTACTGTTTATCTTTTTTTAATTCTTAGAATTAGAAACTCTTACATTGGTGGAACCGGACCTTAACATTCGTTAATTTTAATCTCGTGGTCTATTTGACGCTAAAAATAATCGCTGACTATCAGCATGAAATTGTATCTTAACACTCAATAAATAAGATAAAATATGATTCCAAGAGCGTTGCGAGCATTAAGTGGAACGTAGTTTGTGAAGACGAGATAGATCTGTTCATATTGTTTAAAATCTCCAAAATTATTGTCCGCTTAAAACAAGATAAATATAATATTCAGATGTTAAAGAAAGTAAAGAGACTGTGAATGTAAAGAGTGCAACACGAACAAATATCGAATGTAACTTTTTCTCTCGGAAATGTGAAAATTTTATACACACACATAATATAAAATTTTCACTTTTTGTTTTAATTTTTGACTTAATCAGATATCGATTCGATGTCTAATTAACATGAAAATCATTTACATATTACACTGGCCAACAAAATTAACGTAACACCTGTTTCACTCTGCAAAAATAGGCAAATTTCAAGATAGCATAACTTCGTCAAAAAATTGTCAATAATTTTGTTGGACCGTGTATATTATATTTTATTATTAATTCGACATTACAAGTTATTTTTTATTGCATAGTGATATGCATTTATTTATTTTTTATTTTACACTGGCTATCTCTTAATTTTTCTCAGCAAATCGAGTTTCTGTTACGCCTTAAAGTTTATGATCGACATGAAGATGTGAATTTTTATACGTGCAAAAAGATACTTGCTATACTTCAACCAAAAAGATTCGATCTTGCAGACACATTCTGCGCGGTATCGCCTCCTAGCAGCCTCTAATCGCAGAAATATAGATTCCTTTAAAAAGATCAAACGTTTCCCGTAATACACCGATGAATTATCGTCATCCCGGCAAAACGACTTCAATATGTTTTTGCAAGCCATATGTAAATTACTGCATGTTTCTACGAAGAAATAATTAATTAATATAATAGACTTAAATTTTTTTTTAATCTCTTAATTTACCTGTGCGTTTTTTATTATAGCGTTTGAAAAAATCCCAGTAGGTGAAATAAACTGGATATTTACATCTAGCCAGTGGTAACGCGTCAAGAACACCCGTATTAGCCAATTGCTTGCGAAGATTGTCTCGATTCCACTCGTGGCTGTTGAGTTTCCTGCAGGGTGCATTTTTTATTGCATAAAAAAGTAAATTCAATTTCGCGTTATTGTTAAATTATATACTATACTGTGGCTTAATGCAGCGAACGTAATGCATGTCACATTTGTTTAATTCTTGTATCAATAAGTCCACATTATATCGGAGCTTGGAAAGCATCGTAGGCTTCTTCGTTTTTCCATTAAATTGAGCTTGATGTGGATTATTGGCAATTAACGAATGCAGAAATTTATTCGTACTCACGCTAAATGTTATCGTTATCTCGTCCGGAATCTGTAAATGCATTATCACGTTAGACTATATTCAGATTTTATTTCAAGTATCAGCTCAGGTATTATTTTATCTTTAAGAGTTTAAGGTTTAACTTACTTTTCATCTTTTTCTAATATATCCTTTTTTATATAGAAAAGAAATGCGCTCTTTTTAAAAAGTTCGAATTTTTAAATTTTATTTAAGGTCATGAAAAACGGACAAACTTTTTTCACAAGTTTCATAATTGATTTACCTTATCGGTATTCTTAGAAAGTAGATCACAGGCGGAATATTCTACGGTAGCAGAGTAATGATGTATAACAAAATTTTCTTTCTTTACGTTCAAAAATCGTCTCGTTGCAGGACAGTTCTTAATGTTCACTTGATGTATTAATGTAGACGAGTTGTTCGGGACAGTCGATAAACACATCTATGACATGAAAATGTTTATCGTTAACTTTCCTGCATTAATAGATATTATTTATTAAATATCTGTAAGATATTTACATCGTTTATGGCAGAAAACAAATACTTTTCGATCGTGCTTATGCGGTCTTCATACAATTGCACAATAAATAACGATTCTTTATCATCAATGAGACCTTCTTTTTGCAGATCGTTTCGGCAGGACACCAGATAGTTTTCTACGAAATATTGCTGCAATTTCTCGTTTACAAAATTAATACAAAGTTGCTCGATGCCGTTTGAATTAAAGCATTCGAATCCAAAAATGTCCAATATTCCTGAAGTGCAAGAAATATCAGTCGGTATTTGCAAAATTATATTTCTTTCTTAGAACAACAAGATATCCTTTTATCGTTTCAAGCGATTGGTTGTTACAGAAATTTAATATGCACTGAGAGGTAGTGATTAATTACTTATTTTAAGCGTTAAAGGCATTGTTGTTTAGTGCTTTTAAGGGGATGCTGGAGTGTCCTGTTTTATCATTAATTAGTTAAAGACTCGTTTCTCTTAATTGCATTTACTGATGAAAAAATCCTTTTGCATAGTTATTACTCAAATAAGGGCTGCGCAGAATAAAAGGAACAGGGTACTATGGAATACACACTGTTTATTCCAGAGTATATGATTTCTGATAGGATGAAATTCTTATTCCCTGTTCCCTGTTCCTTTTATTCTACGTAGCTCCTAAATGTTTGACCCTTTTAGGTGTCTATACTTTTAATATTTAAAATAAACAATTTTTAGTATCAAATTAGGGGTTTCTGTAAGTGAAAAAAAAATCTTTAATACCCAATCGTTCGCTATATAGACGAGCGGATAAAATTTCGTTCACGAAATTGATCAGCCAACAAACAAGAAGATCGTATAAGTGGCGGATGATGCTGTGCAATCGGTAGCGACAGGCATCCCTCGTGTTGAGATTACGTCGACAAATGGTGTGTCGACGCCGAGTGTTTTGAGGATTTATTAAAGTGGATGTGAGCAATTCGACGATGTCCTCTTCTTTGATGCAGGCTAGCCTGCACGTGTTCTTCAAGGCTTCTCTAGATTCTGAAAATCGCATATCTGTTGAACTTTCGCTTTTCCCTTGCGTCGTTTATTTTAACAATGAAAAGCGTTTCCCATACAGTACAAACTTCCAAAAGATATCCTAAAAAGCATTCCATATGTCTCCTAACATATATCGGCGAAAATCCAGAAATTTATCAAGGCGCGGTTTTCTACTGGCTCGCTGCAAGCGAAATTTTTCTTAAGATCACAAATATGAAAAGACAGATTATTTAAATTATTACATTAAAAAATTATTTAAATGTATAATTCATAAAATGTTTTATTTAAAATAAATAAATATATCAAAACACACAAAAGAAGAGTATAATATAAAATGGAATCCATGGTTTTTATATCTAGAAGTTTTTTAAAATTAAAAATATATTGTTTGGTATATATATTATCAAAATTGTGATAAAGCATTTAAAAAATATTAAAAATATATGTATATAACATTTCGCTATAAATATTTAATAAATGAGAAACGAGGAGAATTTCCATGGCTCCTTATATATCATGCTGGGATATATATCAGTATCTTCTGTTTTCCTAAGAACGTTCCCAGGATGTCTCTCGGATAAAGTACTGTATGGACTTCTATCACGATTCATGTCACGTGAAATAATTAACATAGGATAATTGCCGTCAATTACGTACGTTGATCATTCATATCGATCTTGCAACGATCGTCTTCCTGCACGAACTGTATGTTACCCATGTGAATAAGCAAGGAGAGAATGAAGAAAATGTCCTTCTTCTGACTCCCTGTAAACCCTAGTACATCCATCGCTCTTGTAGTCTCATAGAAATCGTCGCATAATTCCCGCACTCTCGGAGAATCCAAGTCGCTCACCATGAAGTATCGCGTATCCATCGACAATTTGAAGTCCGCGAAGCTTACGTTTCCTATCGCGCTCATCATCTATAAGGAACAGTTTCGCGAAATTTAGCAAAAGGATCGAATTGACAGTTATATTTCTTAAAAATGCGCACAGCTAGCTGAAGTCTCCTTCACCTGTCCAAAAATTTGAAAATTGCAGCAGCCCTTCGTGACTCGATCTCTTTCCAGGAGGTAGGAGGATATCGTTGCTCCGCATATGCTACCCATTTTGTACTCGAGCCATACAAGTTGCACATTTCTCGAGCTGACTTTGTTAATTTCAGTGGGCGCAGTTGTGAAGGCTGATATCAAACGACAAGCGACCGAAATTCTCCGCACGATATCGCAAACCGCACCTTGCGCCTCAAAAGTTTTAGGAGATGCGGTCAAGAATTCCAGCGCTTTCCACGCATTGAAGGTCTTTCCCGTTCCGGTTTCTCCATTTAAGACTATCACCTTTACGAAGAAACGTCGTTTACAAATGTATAGAGAAATGGAATAAATGAATGAACTCAAACCTAGTTGATTCGTTCAGAGATAGAGATATATTCAATTCGAGTACAGAGACACCAAGAGACTTCTTAGTTTTAGAGGAGTTTTAGACCTTACTATATATGGAAAGAATATGATTTTGCTGAAGTATCTAAAGGAGCTAGATACAGATCTGAAAATAATTTTGTTTGGACCATCAAATTAATTATATAGACTTGCATAAGATGCTAGATGTGAAAAGTTTTTGCAGTATTGTTATCAACGTTTGAGCGTCCCGCATAATTATTTTGATGGTCCAACAAAATTATTTATTATTTTCAGATCTGCATCTGACTGAATTCTTAAATACTTCAGCAAAATTATTCTCTCTCTGTAAGGTCCTCCTGGTGATACAAGCCATTTCGGACTCGTATCAGCTCTGAATTGGAGAAACAGGATAAGATAATTCAATGCACGAAGAAGATTGCAGATCGAATCTTCAATAGATATAATTGGATTTACCTGGCTAGGTTTTCCGAGACCCTGAACTATCCTGTAGTGCGCCCGGGCAGCCACGGCGAATATGTGAGGCGACACTTCTTTACAGGTCACATCGCATACATTGTCATACTCGTGAGCTTGCGAGAGATTGTAAATATCTTTGGTGGCAATTTCGCCGCTGGGATTGATCGCCAGGAGGAGAGTGCCGACCCATGTGTAAATATGACCCCGTTCCAAACGCTCCAGAAGATAATCTACGACTGTTAGAATCGTTTCCAGTTGACAACGAACGAACTTACGACACGTTTTGTCTTAAGAAGATATATTATAGGAAATACGCATTACTCTTCTCCTGCGGCACGGCGCTTAGGTCTCCCATTGCATCCCAAATGTAGGACCAACTAGTCTCCTGCAATACACGCGACTCAGTCAACCACCGCGAATTTATATTATCAAATATTAGCACGTACCTCTGCGAATGTACACATTGTTTTTATGTATATACAGAATTACTATTAGAGCGATACACATTCGTTGTTGACATTCGTCAGTTTGTATAATATAAGTTTCTGCCGTATCAAATTTATGAGAGAAAGTATAGAATGTATGTCGCTACGTCAAAGGGAAGTACGTATACTTTAAAACAATGACAGAATTCGTAGAGAAGTTTGCTTATCGATATGCAAGTCGATTTGCATCATGACTTTTGCGAAAATAAAAATATTTAGTAATGACAGTCGTCGGATGTAGAGAATAAACGTGTAATCATTATGTTACGTATGCTTTTTATTTGTCATAATTTTTATACGATACGACAGAATTGGTTTTCAAAATCGTTCGTATGAGTCACAAGCTCACTCTCCGAGGTGTAACAGTAAGCCGTGGCGGGCGATTAATATCAATGTCGATTGCTCATCGATAATATCAATAAAATTGCCATTTAATTTATTCCATATCAGATCTATGCAATTTGTATTTGTTATTAATAATAAGTGGATTTGAACTACTCAATATATTTTCTATAAATATCTGACTGCATTTTGCGAAGATAATTCTGCGGAAAAGCTAAGATTTCCCTAATCTCCACATTTTATTATATTATATATATTTCTTAAAAAAATTAATGAAATTTTATATTTTCATATATATGTATATATTTCTCTTTCTTCTTCTCACTCTCACTCTTTCATTTTCCTTCCGTTCTTATTTTCAAATATAATTAGTATATAAATTAAAAATATAAACAAATAAATATACAATGATCATATAATATCTAGTTTCTCCTGACATTCATTAATCTTCAAATATTATTTAATTTATATGAGAGGTTTTGCTATAATACTGCAAAGTATCATACAATGTAGACAAAGTTGCGTTTGCGTTTATATTTTGCAGTAATAATTATTGTCATCGTATATCTTTTTAATATAAAATAAAGGATTATATATAAATATGTATATTTTAATACACATTGTTTGAATTATTAAATTTGTCAGAAGAATATATAATTTGTAGAAATTATATAGGTATATAATCTGTGAAATTACAGTTCGGAAGAATAACTCGAATTACATTACAATCTTGAATCTTAAGTGCTAAATTTTTAACATTAAGAAATTTAAATTTCATTTATTCGTGCTGTCAGTGTGATTATTATGAAAAACAGGAGAATCTAAATATTATATACGAATTTACTTATACCGAATACGAACTTACTAGCACCAAGCACGTACCAAGCACACAATAAATTAAAATTACCTGTGGAATTTACATAATACCCTGGCTTCACTAATTATAATCGTTATTCGTGCCTATTTGTTACAAGATATATTCACGAACAGAAGTTACATACGTGCAACTTTCTCAAAATTATCCAAACGTACTTGCGATATTTTTGAACGACGAGGACGATAAATAAATTACAATACAAACGCTTTTTTGTGACATTATTAACAATGATTAACTGCATCTAATTTTTGTTTGATTACAGCGAATTAACTGCAAAATAATTTGCTTAATAAATTTACAATGGTGGCACGAATGGTTAGATAGTCGACTCGCGATCCGGGGATCCAGGTTCGATTCCATTTGCGCCCCATATAACGTATTCCTCACTTAAACATAATCTCAAGTGCTAAATTAGAAATTAATAGATTATCTACTTATTAAATCGCGCTATATCCGTCTATCCGGCGATCGATGTAATTTTTCACGTTTAAGAGAGTACCATTTCATCTTACGAGTAAATGTCAAAATTGTATCTTCACCCAAGAAGCATTGCTCCAATACATGTTATGCAATCCTGATTCAGTCAGGGCTATATATAAAGATATAAAAAAGGCTTAAGGCCTATGTGAGATTCACTTTGATTTAATACGAGACAAAAATTGTAAGTTGATTACGTGTGGCCTTTGTCCCAGAAGAGGCATACACTGGATCAATAAATCCATCTTAGAGCATATAGTACTGTGAGCCTCATAAGTGAGTCGGAATAACAGAGGCTTAAAAAAGATAAATGTATAATAATAAATAATGTGTATTTAACAAATCTTTCTTATATTTACAGAGGAAATAGATTTTAGTATATGTATAAAGATCATAAATTCTGAAACGTTGCACACGTTTGCGTCCAAAGAAAATAATAGATTCTGAATTTTGAACAATTAGATTAATTTTCTCAATTACACTTGTATATCATGCTTAAAATTAATTTCTTGCATTTATATTTACAATAAATTATACATATATGTATATATATATTACAAAAATTATTTGCATTTGATAAATATTTGTAATTAAGGTTTCTGTAGATCTAAAAACGTAGATTCGACTTCCGTTTCCGGCATCCAAGATAACATCGTGCAGAAGAAAACTTCACACATATATGAAGGTCCCAAATCGATCGCTGGATAAAACGCGACCACAATGTAGTGATAAGCAGATAATCTCTAATTTTGCACTTGAGATCACGTTTAAGTGAGGAAATGAAATTTACCGCTAATATTAACGATTAAGTGTATCCGTACCCATAACGCGCGCGGGCGCGAATTATACACGGTCCAAAATATCCGCTCAGGAATAGATGGCTTCGCGCAACACTCTCTGCACCACGTTACATAAATACTGTGGCGAATTATATCGGACGAACGCATATCAAATAACATACATTATTACGCTATTAATGCGTATGATATGAACATGTCGCGCAGAGAACTAATTACGAATACGAGCAGATAAAACGAGATCATTTTACAATATCTTGGACGTCCGAGACCGATCGAAGTCTGGTAGAAATACGATTGAATAATTATACAAATTAAATTCTTTTCAGATATACAATTCAAATATCATTGCTCTATTGCAATTTGTAACATAATTGGAACGATTATATAAACTCTCATTCTCGAGATTTAGGCATTCAAGTTTACTGAATGAAATATTAAATTAAACAAAAATCAAATAAATTTCATGTGAATAGAATGCTTGTCCGTAAGGAGTATGTACTTTCAAATTTTTTGCACTTCGAGGATGCGGACATCTAGAACGAAAAGAAACGTTGCTATACGCAAAGAAGATTAATATAACCGGTATGTCATTAAAGTCGCAGTTTCCTAGGTGTCGGAATGAGAGACTTGACAGTGTTTCCTTCTATCTTAGCGTCATGTTGTTCTGCGTCGTTCAAATCGCATGGCGATTTTACGCAATTTTTCGGCTTGATGGGCGAACCGGACACGCATTCCGACGAGTGTCTTCTCGCATGCACATTGATGCGCCGTATCGGAGTCTGTTCCTGACGGAGTCTTAGCGTATGAGGTAAACGTTCGATTGGCTTGCGATGGCTCCCGGCGGAATTAAGCTCGGAGAGCAGTGATGGTCGCTGACGGTCCAACGAGTCACTCCAACTGCAATAGAGAAGTTGTTGCTGTGAGAAATAGATCGCAGAAATGATGAAAGTTCGATTCAAGTAACAATTCTGAGTTGCTCAAATGAAAAGGACTCAAAACTTACCGCACATGGCTATTCAAGGCAGCGTGAAACATTACGAATTATAAATCTAGTATCTTATCGCAAGAAATTGGGAGTGTCAAGATAAAAAACGGACTATGTTATTACAACATGCCAGAAACATTAGTTTTATAAATGTAAACGGGACAATAATCTACAATATATATTAATCCTTCTACATTCTCAAATAATTAAAGATATTTTCTAAACTACAAAGATTAGATTTTTTTCGATCATTATAGGCTTTCGATCAAAATGCAATCACTCATTATTTTCTTTCGCAAATAAAAAAAAAACTGATCGAAGACATGACATGAAGCTAAACATGAAAAATGATAAAATACGTAGAACACAACGTTACAATTTTGTGGCGTTTGAATAATTGTTACAAAAATTTAATACAGAAATACAACAGTTTATATATAAAGCTATTATACTTTATAAAATAATCATGTCTATTAAGCTGTTATAACAAAATGTATAGCAGTTTATAACAAATTCGATTATGTGTCGCTTTGACAGGATTTGCCTCGATCAATCAGCCGGGAATTGCGAAGTATAAATAAGAAGTCAGATTACTCGATTGCATGCAAAATGTGAACGCAATTATTAATAACGGGTTGTCAAACAAGTGATACGAAAATAAAAGAGGTGCATAAATATAAAGGCGTTAAATGCAGATAGGAGTACATATCCCAATAACAAGTCACACAGACTGACGCACTCTACCTTCCCGATCCTGAAGCTGCATCACGCGGAATCACCCGAGAAAAGGGCGGGACCAGAGCAGCAAAAAGAACATTATTATTTACGATGCACATGATAGAGACAATATTTAAAATGCGATTGTGTTAGTGGTACAAGAATAATTCACGTAAACGTAATTTTTGACGATCAATTGGTATTAATTGTAAAAAATAATGTATGTTGAATGAAGACTATACATATAAATATTAGAACTTAAACGTGTAACAATAATTGTTAAAAAAGGATAAATGCTCACCTAACGAGAGGTCCCATGACACCATCCTGTGGGAGTGACTGTAGGAGCGAGGGTCCCGCCGACACTGGACGTGTCTAAAGCCACAATCAAACAATTTCCTTTTAATCGAGAGCGCGACGATAAGATAACATTAATAGCAATAACGAATCACGAAACACAATCACAAAACAAAACGTGATTAATGTGATCGTAACATTACAAACGGTACGAAGTACGATAAAGGGATTGAAAAATTCGACGAAGTGATACCTTTTCTGTTTGCGTAGCGGCATTACAGGTATCTCCAGAGGAGACGTTGATGTTGCGTGTCGGCAAAGTACAGCTTTGAGTATCGCCATTCTTAGGTTCTTGAAGCTTCGACATCTGGAGCTGCAAAGGGTTAATATTCAATTATCACTCCTATGCAATTCACTTCGATTAATAAAGAGCGCTCTGAAGATGATTACCGCTCCGTCGGAACGAGCTTTTCGCGGTACAGAGAGCGGTACAGTTAATCGCGAGTAGGATTTACCTCGTTATTTACCTCAAGTAGCTCAATGGTACGATCCCGCACTTGTATCGTGCGATCTCGGTCCTCCACCTGGCCTTGAAGGAATACCACCTGCCTTCTCAGATCCGCCAGTTCGTCTGCAATACTGCTACCACCACTTCCCGGTGATGTGCTCACGTCAGTCATGTTACTTCCACCCTCATTCAGGTTACAGAAGAGGCCATTCTGCGATAATATCGACAACGTCATTTCTAATTTAATGTCACCTCAATTACCATAAGTAGGATTAAAAACGAAAGTCTAAGTTATTTTTAGATCCATTTTCTGAGCACTTTATAGGAGGTACCAGGTATACTCACCTTCGGATTATCGAATGGGTTGAGAGTTTCTGTCTAAAAATCAATATCAGATATTAGTAGACGGTAGATTTATTTTTAGCGTTAGCGATAATTCTCATAATTTGCTGTCAGGACCGAGTAAAACAGTAGAATTTGAGCGAAAATTAAGTCTATTTCTTGCAATTATAACTTTCACATATCTTGTAATTATAATTTCACATATTGCTTTCTTTTGTAATTGCAACTTTCATGCATATAATTTTTACTCGGTTCCGCGTAAAGTATATAATATATTATTAAAACGTATATTATATGTAATATAATATAATTAAATAAATACACAAACATGCATGTAAATAAAGTGACATAAATTAATAAAATGTGCAAAAAAATCAATGCAACGTACCCTCGTCAAATCGTTCTCTCCTGACTTGAGACGCAAAATCAGGAAGGACGACGACAAAAATGAAAAATAAAAAAGATCGTGTTAATAAAAATAGGCAAAAACATAAACGCATATCCGTGTACATGGGTAACGGAATAAAATGCTTGTGGTCGATAACGTGTGTGCGGTGGAAACCGAAGGCGGGCCTCGAGCTAAAACTCAAGTCGCTTCAGCACCGCGCTTAAAACGCGTGAAACATATTTACGGGGACGATCGCAAGAAGCGATGTGACGTGCACAATTTTTGGTGAGGTAAAATGCAAGCGGGTGTTATGCTTTTGTCGTACCTCCTGAAGAACTCGCTTGAGCTTCAGGAGCATCGTCTTTATGGAGACAATGTCCTGGAACATGTACTGATACGTGCCGCGGTCTATCCTGAGGCTGGCCTCATCACCGGAATCTACGCACGAGGATGACACCTATAATCGACAAGATATCTGATATCAGCAAAATATTCTCTACAGACAAATCGAGTTTAAGCGTATAATTGTGACTTACACTTCCCGACGTTCTCATAGGACTAGAAACTTGACGGTTGCGCATATTGTCTAACGAACGCGGCGATTCCGTTCCCGATCTACTGCGTAACAGCCTTGACATCCTGTCACTTCCGATTCTGAAACAAGAATAGTGAAATCCGTGTAATTCCATGCGTTTAATTGTCAGAACTCTCCTTGAACTGCACCGGGAGCTCTATAGAATTTTGTTAAAGAGAGAACAAGAGTCGGTTCTCAAGCAATTATACAAGATGTCCCAAAATTCACGACTCAAACTACTAACGCCAGGTAATATCTTAATTTTAATTCTACTTAATTTTCAAAAAAATTAAGTAAAAAAATTATTTGTAAATTTTTTTATTCTAAGCAATAGTTTTTGAGATATAAGGATTAAAATGTGGCCAGTTATAAGTTGAACGAGGATCAAGCGCTAATTAAAGTTCAAAATAACAATTTAATTATTTAACAATTTAATATTTTTCTTAATCTCTGTACGTGATTCACAAACGTTTCAACTTCTTTCCGAGCCATTCTCAGTGAACAAAATTATAAGAGCTACTTCGCTTAAGCTCCAAATTGGGAAATAATGAGTGTATCCGCGTACGCTGATTACAAGGCCGAGTGACTCAGATCCCAAAGACACAATAAAATCTATAGCTAGTCATGTAGAACAAAATTAATAAATTGAAAATATAGCAATAAAAAATTTAAATTTAATAAAATTTTTAAACGGTCATAATACGAATAAAATAAAGACAGAAGCGAAGTCAAAAGTCCTTAGTACAAAAGTCCAAGTCACAATATTGTGCTTACTAATCCTAGCGCGACTCATGGACATGCAGCCATCTAAACATAGTCTGTAATTGGCCATACTTGAATCCTTGTTACTTTAAGAATTACTACTTAAAATAAAAATTTATACATAAATATATAACCTCTTTATTTAATTTATCGAGAATTATCTTACTGTAATATTTCAAGTCAACAAATTTTAGGACATTCTATAGCTGCACAGAAATCCTAAAAAAAGTCAGTTAACTATATAGAAACTGTAAAGAAACGTATCTATTTAAATTATTCATTATCTTCTCATCTAACTTAAATTATTCTCTATAATAGAATAAAAAGAAGTGATAATATGATTTGACGGAACGGATATAATTAATCATGCCACATCGAAAAATAAATTTTATATATATAGAAAAAAAACTGTACGTGCTGAACATAAACGATAAAGAGCTTTCTGCGAATAAATGTAAAGCAGCAGGGGTCTAACAGGAAGTAGTGTATTCGCGCATTATCATAATTCTCATCGCAGTCACGCTATCCCAATAAAAAAGAAAACGAGCGTGCGGCGCCTAATCTCCACGCTTCCTCGCTATCTTGTATCTCTCCTAGGCTACTCGGAAATATCTGAGGGAAGAGCGTAGCTCTTCCTGATGGGAGCGGCAGAGTGAGAGGCACTACCTTCCGGAACTATTCTTGGCTCGCGAAGAGACTGCGGTGGTGGAGGCAGCGGTAACGCCGATACTCGTGGAGGTGATCGTCTGGCCGTTGGTCGGCGTCCTGGGCTGCCGTGGAGGCGGCGATCCATTCGTGGGCGTCGAGCTCTCGGACGAGAGGCCGGAGTCGTCGCGTCCATCCTCGGTGCCGCCGCCGCCGCCGCCGCCGCCGCCGGTACCGTTTTCCAAACTCGCGGGGACGCGGACGCGCGTCGGCAGGCCAGTGGTGCGCCTCCGAGCGCCTTTCGAGTTCTCGGCCGACGTGGAGGCCATCCTGGACTTGCTCCCTCAACCGAATCGTCGATTGTCTCCCGGCAATCGCGCGCGGGTCATCGGCCCTGGTCTCGCCGCGCGTTCACCAAGTCTCTCGCTGAACGAACTTGAGGACAACGTCGAACTTCTCGGGAACTGATTAGGCTTATCAGTTGGCTTGAGCAAAAGAAGGAGGGCCGGACAGTTTCCTTGTGAATTTCCTCGAGTTTCCTCACGGAGTCTTCTCGACCTAACCGAGTGGTTGCTTTGATCGTATTACTGAACGTGACAGTCCGTCGGAAAGCTTCACCCACAGGAATAGGATAATGTAAATAGAAGATGGAGCACAGACGGGCATATTTATAAGCTGGATGAAACGGAATGCGTCGTGGTTTTACAGTCGACGGAGGACGAGAAGAGGGAAACGCGCGGCAGGGTGAGAAGCGAGAGACGTTAATGGAAAGAGCCTGGTGTGGAGTACGATGAGTAATTCGGTAGACATGCAGTTGCCGCGGTCACTTTCCCGAGTTGCACGTCCGGCTTATACGCGCCGAATTACACGCGTTCCGCGTGGTGCGTTTTGCAATCCTCACGCTAAGTTACGCGAATTCGAGCGATGCCCCGGCATGGGGGATGCGACGTTATATACTTCGTTCGCCGATGTCACGGCGAATGAAGCTGCAAAACGAGATAAACGCAACGTAAATGGCAACTCGAAGACTCGGATCGATGGACAGGTGAACGGGAGAACGGAAAGAATAATTAAAAAAAAAAAGAAATAGAAATTCACTGAACGCGATATATACATAGATCGATCTAGATCGCCGCTCGGATAGCGGTAACGTAATATTTTGCGGGTTGACTAACGAGTTTTTTTTTTTTCTCTTCCTTTCGATACACCGTAAGTTATTTGCGTTGTAAATTATCGAACATGGTAGTTAAGCGCGCTGGAAAATTACACCTCCTATTTAAGTATAGTTTCGTGAAACGACAATAATTTTTATTTATTCTACATTCGCCGTATCATCTCATTGCCAATTTATCTCCACAGTAATTCGTTCGTTAGCGCTTCCATTCTTTTCTATCCTTTTTTTCTCTTCATTTTCGTAACAATATCTCAGACTCGGAAGTTAAGTTGAGTTGAGTCATCCTGTCGAGTGAAAGTTATCCTACCGAAATCTCTACCGAAGCGCTTGCTATTTTTCTACCAGAGCGCACGTTTTATCGAACTGAATAATGATTATCTAAGTGCGGTTGTCGCAAAATCCTCATCCTAAAATTCCATAACATTTCCTGATTTCCCGATAAAATTTTCATGATTTTCTCTAATGCTTTTAATAATATTTCGCATCTTTTTGTCCTGATTTAGAAATATTATATTCTGTTGAGAGAGTAATTTAACACAGCAATGTAAATTACTATTAATATTGCTGACACACTGCTTGCATTTATTTGTTAGGTTGGTATTCCAAATACGTACATATATGTGATGACGCATATTGCACTTTTTTAAAGAATTTAATTTTTCAGAAAATTTTGCAAAATCCCTTGATTTTTTCTCTGATTTCCGATTTTGTGGCGATCCCCAATTACATTACTTGATATTTTTCACAGAAAAATACGATTTTCTTTCAATAAATCCAAAATGCATCGATTATTTTTAATTCCAAGGGGAAATCAGGCTGTCCTGTCACAGGATTAATTATGGAGCTTCCGCGCGGCGCAATTTTGGCACCTCTAAAGCGGCGCTTCGCATGAGCGAGTCTCTGCTAATCAAATTAATCGATTTACTATAGAGACTCGGAAAGCGTCGGTTAATATTTTATGAGATGACTATTAATAAACTCGGCGAATCTTAATGCCACGGTTAAATATACGACCGCGACCTCGCGTGTTCCAGTACGACTGTGCGTCGTTCCATCATCGCACTTATCTTGGACTGGGAAGATTCACGTGACAACGACGATGCTAGGGAAAGGCGATAAGGGCCAAGAACATGGGTCGGAAATGGTCGCGAACAAAGGAGGACTCGTCGGTGCCAAGCTATTCTACCTGGACTCGACCGAACTCAACGTCACGCTACGTCCACTCGTGTAATTCACGGCAGGTCGGGATCAAGGATTCGCGCTTCCCGGCGTGAAATTGTCGGTGCCCACTGCGAAACGAGAGCTCCACTAGATCCCTCTCTCTCTCTCTCTCTCTCTCACACACACACACACACACACATACACGCACACACGTCGAGTAGATTTTTTTCGGAGCGATACTTCAGCGTCAGGAAACCCGGTGCGTCGCGCAAGACGCGCGGCGTCTATTTGCTGGGCGTCGCATCTAGGTACCTTCGATGGTTTTCCTCGTCGTCGTCGAAGAGGGACTCCCTCGTGAACGCGACACGAGGAAAGTCCCCCCCACGCGAGAGATACGACACCGTATCTGGACGGAACCGCGACTCCGGAGTGACCTGCGGCGGTCACCGGCAAGGTAGACACAAAATCAGGATCACGAAGGATACCCTCTGCGAGGGGGTATACACAGGGAACGCGTGCGCACCTCGCACTACGGCGATGAGCTGCGGTTCGATATCGTCGCGGTAGACGACGAGACGAGAGGAGAAAGAGAAGTCGGAGAGGTAGGGAAGAACGGTAGGGGGAACAGCTGCAGACAGCAGGGAGGAGGTGAATGCAAGGACGGTGGGGGTGATAATGCAAAAAGCTGCGGGAACTATTACCAGAGTCAACGATACGGATCTTGTCCACGGGATACCTGGACTTCTAAACTCGTGATCGAGTTTTCCGAGACTTTTTCCCTTTTCCCCTAAATATATTGCTTTACTCTCGTAATCATAATTTTATACTTAAGGAATATTCCTTCATTTCCTCGATCGGAATTTCAAAGCTAATATCTCCAGGAATTCGCTAGAAATAGACTTATGTTCGTTTTCATTTCTCTAAAACTTGTACAGTGTGCATCCTATTCTGAAAAGTGAAATCCCACTCTTAAGCCCGTTTTCACCAATGTAAAATTAACTTTAATCTCGGTTCTCAATTTTCTCTTTATCTTTTTCTAATTCTAAAAATTAGGGAAAGATAACAACAATAATTAATTAAACCGAGATTAAAGGCTTTAAAGACTGAAAACTGAATCAATCTTTTTTTCAAAACATGCTCAGTTTTTACTTGAGCGTGAGATTCCACTCTGAATAATTCAGAAAGTAGATTAACTTCTCTTGGTTTATAACTTATTTTTATCTCTCTCTAGTTCCATAAATTAAAAAAAGATAAAGAATAAACTAAGAAGAGATTAAAGTTAATCTATATAAAAATGGACATGACTGCAAGCAACAACGTAAAAAAATAAAGCGATAAAGAAATAACAAATTATTAAATTCCCGCGCTATTCTCGTCCAATTCAATTAACCACGGCGCAATAGATATTCCATCAACTGTCGGTCCTAATTGGACAGCTGAAATGATCTGTTAAAATTAATATCATATTAGCTAGGTCAACGACTAGCTCTATTTGAGGTAGTAAATAGCTTTTATATAGAAAATAAATGTGTATATAAATCGATATTACCTGACTAGGTCGTTCCGCATCTCCTAATATAGGTATTTATATATACGTATATATAGTATAAGTAAAGAGTCGCGGCACGATCTGATCAATCAATATCAATTTAATATACGAATCAATTTTGTGACTCAAGTGCCTGATCAACAACGATACGATATGGAAAGAAATCGTAACAATCAATAAGAATCCGTTTTCGAACCATCGAGAGGTATATTTTCGTTACAGCAAGATATCATTTCAACGTCCCAGAAGATCTTTCTTTTTTGCCGAGAGAGCAATTTGCGGATATCTGTTCGCGTCTCTGGCGAAGTAAACGATCAATACTCTTCCAGCTGGCCGTCCCTTGGCTCTTAAAACCACGGTTTACAACCGTCGTCTACCCTCTTTGCGACTTCGCCCCTCGATGCGATTTTCCGCCGAACTTGGCTGCGGAGGCAAGAATTCAGGATTTATGAGGCTCCGCCAAGTTTTCCGTTCCCGGTAGCCGCTGGCACGCACTTCTCCGTCCTTTTGCAAGCAGTCTACCGGAATCCCGCACCCTTAGGGAATTCCTCTTTCCCTTTCGCCAAGCACGGCACCCAGCAAGTCTGCTCACGTTTCGTGATAAACGAACCGAATAAGGAAAGGATCAATCTCAGAAAGCTCTCTGAGATGTTTTTCAACGCTGTTATATTCGTTTTTGTATGCAAATGTTTACGGTGTTAATTAGCTAATTCACTTAGAAACGACGAGATAGATATTTTTCGCACGTTTATAGCAGGTTTGCAATATGCAAACGACTCGCTCAGGGATTATTGGTGGCACTATTTACTGTCGACTATGGTTATCGCCGAGAGGTTTTAGTAAATAGACCGAAAGAGTTCACCGTTACGCAGTAAAACTGCACAAGGAAGTTCCGTACTTATATCGCGTAAGTTGTTTCCGCTACGACGAGCGCGACTTATCCGAGAGAGCAACACCTTTGAAAATGAAAATTGCCGTGCACTCGCCTGTTTCTCTTCAAGAAAGAATTACATTGTTGCCGTATAAGGAACTTTTAAAAGACACGCGTTATTTCATCGAAACACAAAGGGAGAAAATCAAGAAAATAAGATTAATGCTTGTGTTCTCTCCAATTTTAAATTTAATCTCAGTTCAATTTACTCTTCATTCTTTTCTAATTCTTAGAACTATGCTTGTTGCTATCAAAGTTTAATTTTAATCTCTTGATTCAACTAACTCTTCATGTTTTTTTTTAGTTCTGAGAATTAGAAAAAGATGAAGAGCGAGCTGAGAACCGACATTAAAGTTAATCTACATTGGTAGAAATGGGCGCTAAAAAAAGATAAAGAGTTAGTTAAACCAAGATTAAAATTAAACTACATTAGTAGAAACGGATATGATGCTTGTTTCCTCCAATCTACAGCATAAAATGTTTTAGAAATATTTCACATTGCAAGATTTAAAATATTTCAAAAATTTTTCACAAAATCTTTCTAAAATATAAATATATGTATTTCTAAAGAATTTCTAACATATTTTTGTGAAATAGTTTAATGTAATATTTTAAAATGTTTTACACAAATGTTTACAAAGTATTTCTGAAACAATTTCTTAAAATATTTCAAATAGTAATTCACATAAATATTTCATATGCTGTGTAGGTATTTTTTATACATTAACTGTAATCGATTCAATTTACTCTTCATCTTTTTCTAATTAAAAAAAATTAAGAATAATTTGAACAAGGATTAAAGTTAATCTCTACATTGGTGGAAATGAGCATTGGATTATCGGACTACTTCGAGGAATCTAGCAAACTTATTTTCCTTTTTTCATCTTCAAGCGATATGCGCTTATTTTTTTCAAGCATATACATTTCGTCGCAGGACATTACGCCGCAGCCTAATCAATACACGCTTTTTGCGGCCGCGATCGATACCGCCGCGAATTAAAAATTTTGCGTCACGACACGAAAGACAAATAACGAAGGAGGAGCAGAAAAATACATGACTAACTAGTAACGCTCTGATTAACGAGGAAATCACGCTGTTTGGCTCGTCTTCGACGTGCCAATCGGCTTCCGGCTATCCATCTTTGATTCCCCGCCGTTGATGAAAAAAACGAAGGCTGAAGAACATTGATTCATTAATATCCATCCGCTCTACGTTCCGTTCATCTTTCAGCCTTGAGCGAGCATCGCTATATTCGGCAGTGGCGAGTCTCATTACATCACGGCCATGTGAGTACAAGTCTGTCATACGCGGTCCGAGAAAACCGGTTTACACGGTTGAGCAAATTACACCGCGGTCTTTTTCTTTTGTTTTACGCAACGGCCAAGGTCACAAGTGACTGAACTAACTTCTTGTAGCACTAGCAACCCTCCGATTATCCCAAATCCCATCCCCGTAAGGTCAAGAGACATGGTAGATAAGGCTGGTTATTCATAGTCAGTTCTTATATTTAAGACCATCTTAAACACGGTCTTAAGTTATATCATAAGCTAATCACAAAGCTGTATTAGCGTCTTAAGACATTACTTAAGACAATTTTAAAATAAGAAATGATTATATCAAAATATTGGCCATTTGTTGCTTCGTTTATAGAAAATCCTTGGTAATATATTATGTAATCGAGTATTCAGATACGATAATTTAGATATTTTAGATAATTTTCAGAGCAGGAGCATACGCGATATAGAAAATGTCAGGCGACTGTCGTTTATAGAAAATTTATGGGAATGTAGGTAATCGCATATGGAGGTACGACACAATTTTATTGTTTTCCATAAACAAACACAGTCGGCCGATACTTAAACCTGCGACACATGCTGGATTGCCTGCGTTTTAGTAAATTACTATAATTGCATCACAGAACGCAAAATTTCTAGTAATCTACCAAAACACAAATAATCTAGCAAGGAAACAAGCAATTATATACCACAAGCTTAGATTTATATTGTGTGCTTTTACTTTAATTGTTTTCCATAAACGACACAACAGTCAACCAACACTTTGTCTGTAGTCTGCTCTAACACTTGGTTTATTTTACTCTCTAATGCCGATTTCCACCAATGCGGATTAACTTTAATCTCGGTTCAATTTGCTCTTCATCTTTTTCTAATTCTAAAAATTAGAAAAATATTAACAGTAAGTTAAACCGAGATTAAAGTTAATCTGCATTGGTAAAAACAGGTACATATAAGTCTAAATCTCATATACCATGAATGGAGATGAAATGAAAAAAGAAAAAACAAGTCCACGAGAGGAAGTGTGTTTTAATGCAATGGAGGAGGTCGATATATATGCTTACAATAGTACGTATACGAGGAAGACAAAAATACGATACATAGTCATGTTTAATGCCGTCGTATATTGCCATCTTTTAGAACTGGTCGCTACACCGCACTTTTCTCTCTCTCTCTCTCTCTCTCTCTCTCTCTCTCTCTCTCTCTCTTTCTCTCTCTCCTTGTGTTGCCCATTCTTACAAATTACATCTGAGTACACGCTTGTGAATACAAATATTTGCGGACGTAAGTGTCGCAAAACGTAGCTCGGCACGACGCGATGGCGGCCAATTCAACGCTAATATAATTCTAGGGAGGATTGATAGTTCATTAAGGAGAGTAACTTACTGATGGATATTGCGAGATATATTGGATACCGGTAATGCTATTGTCGGATTGATTTTTTTCTTGGTACAACACGAAGTTATCGGAACTATAAGAATTAATATCGTGCAGAAAGGGTTGAAACTAAAGAAAATAAAGGAGCAAGGTAAAGGAAAAGAGAAATGACTCTCTACGCAGGAAGAAGCGGAAGGAGTGAGGTGGCTTCAATGAACTGCCATTCAAAGTCCAGAATAGTAGCAATATGTTTCTCGTAAGTACTATGTTAAGTATAAATGTATGTACGTTGCATTAATATGTGTCATTATTACGCGTCGCGTAATCGCGATTCTTCGTATACATGTGCCACTAGTCTTAAAGTGACGCGCGATCGCGGAATTATGCGAGCTCTTCAAGCCGTCTGGCTTCTCAATGCACTTCCCCGGACTCTCGTTGAAATAAAAGGTAGATGTTCAAGAAAGTGATGAGCTTTTATGAGTTATCTCCATATCTTGATACATCATTAAATGATAACGTTTCAAATATTGCAGTTCTCTTCATCAGAGTAAGAAGCAAACTGTGTGTGACCTTCGTTCTAATTGAGTAAATTACGTTATTTTCACAAAACGTTGATATTTAATGATGGATCAACACGAAGATGACCCGTGAATCGTTTAACTTCCTTCAAGAGAAATAACTAATATTAAACAAAGTATCTATTAAAACCGTACAGTGTGTGTGAATACACAACAAATAAAAGTTAAACTGAATTTTTAATGTTTCCGCAACATAAAGATCCAGCTTGATTGTTTAGAGTTATTTTCTATTCGTGGAATAACTAATTTAAAGAAAATACTCGCGGAAGCCTAAAAAATATTAACAAAAGTACACGTTATTTTCACTTATTTAGCAATAAAGCGTAAAACTTAAATAGAGCATTTACGTTGAGATAAGTATCTATATAAGCGCAATATCCTGCCTCATTTCTAAGAAAATGAGATCCACTTAAAAAAGAATGAAGCTCATGATTGTACAATTGAGTTTCACTCATGCTAGAAATCGAAGATGAGAAATAAGTATCTCCATGGCGAAAAAGGAACGATAATATAAAGGAATATTTCGTAGACATGTTAAAGATGAGAGACCGAAGAGAACACGCACCTTGATTATAATATTACTATAATATAATAGCAAGCGTCCAAAACTGAAAAGATTGAAACAGTTTGAAGTCGCATGTGGACGCATTGATTGCTCCGAATTATTTGATTGATTAAACTAATGGAATGCAACGTTATCACATGTATTGTTAAACGCATAATCAGCTTAAAAAGCTGCATTGTTCTCTCCTTCACGGTAAATTCGAAGGAGGGAAGGGAAAGGGGAAGGATAACATTGAATTGATTTATTCATCAACTCCTCTTCTACGGAACTACGCGTTTACACCTAACAAGCTCTTTATAATGCCACGAGTATACGATTAATTAATAGCTGTAACGGATGTTCCAGGAATTACCCTTTGCGCTACGTACCAGTAATACGTATTAAATAGTATCAACGGTTACCATTTAAAAGCCTTGACGGCCGTTGGGATGACTAGGATGAGGACTAGAGTGCATCTACTCGGGGATTGAACATCGGAATCGGCTTAGAAATCACCGGTCCCGACAGGACGACAATTTTGGAAGGATTTGGTCAGCACGACCATCGTTATTGGAAAAATACGAAATTAGAAAAATAATCTCTATCACCCACGCCACCAGACGCGCTCGCTTAGTACCAGATACACGCTAAGAGTTCGCGCAAGCTTCTCCATACGGACGAAAGATCGCTTTAAGCGAGTCCTAGCAGCGTTGTAACCAGAACACAACGAGGCGACTTGTAAACGGCGAACGGTTTACATGTGTCGACGGGTTATACTCTCTGTTCGGCACTATGCTTCGACTACATCTCGACTATACTTGAGAGAATCGGTAATCTTTGCGATTATAATAAGGACGCACTGTAATCTCAAAGAAGTTACCTGATGCCTTGTATCGTGAAATCACGTCAAGCTTTCCCTCAAAAAAAAAAAAAAAAAAAAAAAAAAAAAAAAAAGAAAAAAAACAAAAGAGAGGAATAAATTAACAAGACCAATCGATCTCTCCGCGGAGGTCGGAAAACATTTGAGGTAGATTTCCCATCTACATCCGGTTTAAGAAATTGGGCGGGATGGGATAGCTAATAGTTATCAGTTGTATATATTAATATTTTCCTCAGGACAAATTAAAACTTCTTTCTCGAAAATAAGATAGACACGTAACATAGCACGACAAATAATAATTACATGAAATCTGTTAAAAGATTTAAAAAGTATACCTACAAGTTTTGTAATGTTAGAAAATTAGAAAACTGTTAGATTAGAAGATTGCGCGTAAGAGAATGTTCTTACATTAAGTAACAATTGCGATGCGGTTATCCTTCGAAAATAAAAAAACTCACCGAACTATATTCTAACTTTGGAATAAACTTGGAAACGCTCTGTATACTGTATACTGAAAATAATTTTCCACGACATGTCATCCCGTTTTTTTCATTTAGCTATACCCTAAACAAAAGTCACAGACGCACAACCATAGCCAGCAGCTAGATTTCCCAGTTGCAACACCGTATCATTATTATTTTCCGCTCGGATTTTTCCAATCATCAAGTTCTTTCTCTCCCTCTCTCTCACTCTTGACAACGTCTGTCTTTAACTCGCAAGTGGTCGCGCCGTAAGTATCACAAAGCATAACAAATAAAAGATCATTATTTTTTACTTTTTCTCCGCGATATAAAATATCTCGTCTTATCTCGCAAACTCACACATTTTCCGACTAGTATATCTTCAAAGAAACCTCGCGATGTGTTCATTTTAATGTCTTCTTTTTTTTAATCTTTTTTTTTTAACAAGATGCGACCACTCACGCGTTAAGCATGCGTCCGTGTATTATTATTACTGTGTCTCGGTAATCGGCTGCGTGCGGTTATCGGTTTTGCCTAGTCGACATTCAAGGGAGAACCGGCGGATCCCGCTCGCTAGTTAGGGTATGTCAGCTGGTAGTAGTCTCCACCCGCCGAGTCCTCATCGGGGATTTGCAATTGCTTCACCCGTTTTACTAGCGCGCTAGAACACAGAATACTGTCGCTGAATTGTGGCGTCTCCTGTGGCGGATGTGTGCGGGCATGTTCATTTTATTTATTTGTACAAACAGGGAGGTAAAAGACCTCGTAATATACGTCTCGTAGTGTATGGTAAAGTCTTATAGGGAAAAATAGAACACAGTCAGATACAAAAATCCGACTGATACATTGTTAAAAATAATATTTTTGTAAAGAGGACAATTTCTTGCTCTCAGCAAATTAGCAGACCTACAAAAATATTATTCAATATCAACAATGAATCAATATTCTTGTATAAATGACATTTCTTCCCTATAGACTCGCATATATTATACAATACAATTTGCAGAAGAAAATATTTATGCCAGTTTACATTAATGTAGATTAATATTAATTTTAGTTCAACTTGTTCATCATCTTTGTCTAGTTCTAAGAATTAGAATAAGATAAAGAATAAGTTGAACTGAAATTAAAGTTAATTTATACTTTTATAGAAACGGGCATTAGTCTCTATACTATCTTTTTACGACCGCACACATTGAGTTCTGCTGATTGTTATCACTGTTAATGAGGAGCAGAACGAAAAACGGACTGACGAAACGAATACGTGATGCTACATCTTGAAAGCTTCAGGGGTATCGCTTGAGATCAGACGAGATCGAGGACAGGGATGAGGACGGAAATTCAAGGGAGAGCAAGTCTAACATATACTTTACAAAATGTACACTTCTTTTCTCGTTCCGAGAAAGCTATTGAGTAAAAAGGAGCTAGCAACGTGAAAGAGAGTAGGCTGTTATGCGCATGTGGCCATGACGTGCTCGAAACTTACGCGACTCGCGGTAGCGCGATATTGCATGTGATACCACAAACTGAAATGTTGTACTTCATGCTCCCGATATGAAAAATATTTCTTCCTTTAATTAAGAGACAGATAAGACGAAGCTTTATGTGCAATCTCCCCACGCGATGCTTAATAACTTCTGCGATTTCGTTGCAATTAATATCATTTTAAAATGTAGACTAAAATTGTAAAATTGCATATATATCGTATCTACAATAATATACGAGTATGGGATACAAAAAAAGTTCTAACGGGATATTATGACACTCTTCCTCTCCAAGACTTTTGTTAATTAACTTTTGTTATTCAACAAAATGAAAAAAATAATCATGTTATGAATGAAAAAATAATCATGTTACAGAAAAGAACGGAATTTTGGAACATATAATATAGCGCGCAAAAGAAAAGTAAAACATCACAGGATTATTCAAAAGGTACTGTTAAGTTTTTCATGGTATTAAAAATTCAAATAGTGCATAAGACGCAATTTTCCCTGAGATAAAATATTGGCGTTAAGTATAAAAAACGTTTAAATGCTCCAACGTATCACTAATTTCTCATAATGTATTCACCTTTTACGGAATTTTTTATACACCATAGAAATGATATACAAAAGATTCGAAAGGTCATCCTGATTAAAGTTTAAGAATATGACTTACAACTACAGTGGACACAGACAGCGGATATACATCAATTTAATGGTTGGATGACACATTCTTTGTCTCCTTCGTACAGTATGCATACTTTTTATCGACTAACTATATTATATAATAACATCGATCAGGTACTTTTCAATCTTCCTACACAGTCTCTAGTAAGCTTTTAAGCCTGCTACAGTTTCTGCACTGTATTACAGTCTTTACTTATAATTCTATAAACGTGTCAAAATTAATTAAAATTATATATTTAAAATTATAATCAATATTACGTAACTAAAAAATGAAAATGACTGATGCAAATGTATACAGATTCGTTCAACATATTATACAAAAAACAGAACGATGTTGCAATTAGAATATCTAGAAATACATAAAAACAGAAGCGATGCGAAACAAAAATAGAAATGAGATAGTTGTACTTGATTGGATTTTATCTATACATGAAAGAATAATATTATAATATCAAGAAAGAACAACATCAGCGAAAAAGCAGTATTCCTTTGCCCCGATTTAAAGGGGAGGAACATCTTTGTATGATTTACATATCATTTGCAAGTACGTCACGAGTTGTAAATTTAACTGCGGGATAATGTTACGTTAATCATTTTGAAGAAGCATCATGCATCACGGAGTTTTATGATTCGACAGCAACGCAAGCATGAAAGGTAGCGAAAAATGCGAATACACACCCGGATTCGGTGGCGGCCTGATTGTTATTGTTACCGCTGTTGATGGAATTGTTGTTGGCGGAATTGGAATTCGTCTCCTCCATATGCGCAGTGTTCAGCAACGAACTCCATTGCCTCATCACTTCTTCGCCCTGAGCTTCCAGCTCGGAAATTATAGTTGCGTCGTCTAGCTCATGCAACGCAGGATTGGAATTTAATCTGAGAAAGAAAACAACAGACAAACAATGATAATTTGATTCTAAAAAAAATAACAATATGTTTATTTCTATATTCAAGCTAAACTGTAAAGTATATATCTCGCTTATCAAAACGTATATATATGTATATGATATATATCGCTTAATGCTAACCGCTGTTGTTCCTCGTAAGAACTCGCGTCGCTGCCGTCATAATCTAACATTAAATCATCCGACGCGATGGATTCGCAGGGCGATAAAGTGTCTACGCTGCCAGTTCGATGCAAACGTTGCCCGTGATGAGGACTATTTATTACGCCTTTGATATGAGCATCTGTAACACAAATTACATATATTGTCAGTATGATAAAAGATGTTTCAATAAAAAAATATCTAACTGTATATTTAATAAAAATATATTCATTTTTATTAAGATTATTATTAAAATTTAATAAAAACTTAACACAATTTACATCTAAATGTACTTAAGAAAAATAAAAACTCTAAGAATAGCAAATCCGTACTCACTCTTAGAGCTGGTCTCAACCAGAGTGTGGCTATTCTCAGTGATTACTTGACCTCCCATAGCGGATTGCGTTTCGATTCTTGCTCTCGGATTGTTGTCGTCGAAGATCAATCCAGGTTGATCCGCGATCTCATCATCGAAGAACTCTCTACCCTCGGACAAGCTGAGCGAGTTAGAGGCATTCGTCGGTGTGCCCGGACCATCATCCTCGAGAGTGTTATCCGAACGTTCGTGCGCGTGTTCCTCATCTCTCTTCGAGGGCTTTCCATCCGACTGCGTGATACTGGCGGTAGGACTGTCAAACAGACTGTCAACTGGTGAAGTCTCATCGTCTATTAAAGTGGTTGTGGTAGCAGCAGCGGCAGCAAATGCAGGATCCTCGATGGTGAGCAACACCGAGCGTAAAGTGTTCTTCGATGTTGCGCCACTTTTCGTGGCAGCGTTGATTGCTTGCGCGTGCTGAACGATAATGGAGTTGGTGCGCTGGTATTCGTCACTGGAACTCAACGAATACTCGTCTGCCATGGCTTCGCCGTGTCCATATTCGGGATCGTCCGAACTGGGAGGGCTAAAATCCGATTTGATGGACGGGACTTTTTCTGTGCGCGATCGATCCTTGTAGACCTTCTCCTCGCTCAGACAACCCTCGTCGTAGCCCTCCGAAGACGTAGTGGACATTGACGCGGTCGAGTCGGTGTATCTATTGTCCTTGTTAACGATTCGCTGGTATTGCGTAGCCCGCTCTCGCACAAAGCCAGTATTTAGATTCGCTGCAGCGGTTGCGAAAGATTTTGGCAACGGGATCACCGAGATCTCTGTGACAGTGCTGTCGTCGTCACGGACATCTCTCACGTCAAAGCTTTTTCCGGACACCACCATGCGCAGGTTTCTCGGTCTGCCGACGCCGCGTCTCCTCACAGAACCATCATCCATATAATCCATCGACCTAATTCTATCGTTATCTTCCGAACCAGGTGGCTGGCTGCTGACACCCGAATCTTCGGTCACCGAACCTTCTTTCGAACTGGACGAGCCCTTCGACGTAGATATCTTTCTGCTTTGATTTGCTGCAGTCTTGGCGATCTTGGAATTCGAGTCGTTTACTCGTACGGCATATTGAGGTAGCGGCAGATGACTGGTGTGCAACGTGTACCTACTGATGGGTTCTGGAATGCCTGAGACTCGTCTGTTCGCGTCTGTGTGTTGCATCATTGAATTGCCGCCATAAGCCACGTTATTCGATTGCGATGGGCGAGATTTTGCCGGTGCCGTCGTGCTGCACAAATGCTGTGGCACGTGCGCAACGACCCTGTTTGGTTGTTGCTGTTTAACAAAATAATTCTCTTGTTGTTGTTGCTGTTGTTGTTGCGAATATTGCTGCAGCTTCTCCTGATTGTAGTGGCTGATGCTGTGGCTGTTACAGATATCGCCGACCTTGTTCGTGAATCTCGCTTGCGGCTGCCGATAACCGAAGCGATTCGTCCTAACGCCGATTCCACTCGAATCCTTCTTTGGCGGTGCCAGTCGCGGTGTCGACCGGCCGGATGACGAATTATGAATCATATTACTGTTATCATCGTCCATCATCCGTCTGCGATCTTGCTCTGGGCCGGCCGACTTTGATCGTGGATGCAGCAGGCTCTTCTCGTTGGTGGTACCAGTGACATAGTTCGTTATCGGCATTGGAATTCCACTGGTGGGCCGTCGCCTGAAGCCGAAGGACATCGCGGTGCCGCGTGTGTGCGACGTGCCGCGTTTCGAAGAGCCCTGAAACGAAGATTCTTCATTAGAAATTTGTCATACAGGATGTATAATACAGGATGTATATATGTGAAAAGGTTGCAGAACACAATAAGACGATGACGAACGTAAAAAGATTGCAAAGATAGAATTAAAACAAATTACAAGTTGGACGCAGAACACAATAAGACGATGACGAACGTAAAAAGATTGCAAAGATAGAATTAAAACAAATTACATACACACGCACACATCATTCTTATCAGAGATTCTTTCAGCTCCTTTGACACGAATCGCTTATTAGGAATGCAAGAAATAGTTTATTCGACGAAGTTCTTGACGGTTGCTATCGCGTTTCTACAGCCGTTACGAACGAAGCACTTCGTATAATCAAGATGTAAGAGCAGGGATTATCAGCAGCGTATCGTTCCTAGTCGCGCATTAGCTGCGATTATCCGTATAGAAGAAGATCGATATCCCACGTAATTGAATTTCGACGATTAGATTGTGAAGTTTACATTCAGCCGATGTATTAGGTATAAATCTTGGCCATTTAATTTGAGCACGATCTTGGCCTTTTTACTCTTGACTTATATTTTGTTTTTTTACGAACATCTACTCAGCATTATATAGGCTGCTGAGTGCGCATACATACCGCACGCTCGTGGGATTTCGGGATCTGTTCGACGAACCTTTTGCGTGGTTCCCGACTGCAACAATATTAATCGATATTCGTGTGCGGATTATATAATGGCGCGATGTTGATAGTGCATCCCGTCGCGAACGAGGCTCTCCGGAACAACGTGCACACGAGCAACGCATTGTCCATGATCGAGGAACAACTGAGGAACGATGGAACACGCCTCTGTGCGATTCTGAAGTCGTCTGAGAGGAGTCACCGCGTGCGGTGGCCCATTTGAACTCCAGAAATAGCGTAACCGCGGCTGGCAATCCGACAAATCCGGGGATCGTATTCGCGCCTCGGGCGCGTTCGTGAAGAGACTCGAAACCCTGACTCGTTATGTTTAACACAGATGTCTCATGACAGTCGCAAATCGACCGCAAAAACGTTTCTAATGATTACGCATGTCGTACACGTTATATACAGCAAATGCATAAAATCGTCGTAACTACACCTGTAACTGTAAAGCAATAAAATCCAAATTCCAGCTAAATTGTTAAAGACTAAAAGACTACGAGTTCTTTCTAGCAAGAGACACAGGCATTGCAACACAACAAATCGTTGCATCCTTGCTGTTTGCCAATGTTAAACAAAGATAATATGACATCATAGTCTATCTTTTAATTTCATCATTATAAACAGACGCGAATAATTTGCGATCGTTAACGATGATAGGCAGTGTCGGAAATGTGTTGCTTACTGGAAAGTATCAAATGTATCCAGAACTTCTCCGACCATATCTACATTAATATTTAAACGATATCAAGGATTATTTCCAACTCCCAAAACAAAAATTGAATTCAACTGTACTGACTTTGATTAAATGGCATAAAAAAGCTTATGATTCAGCAGATCTCGATAAATAACACTCTGGTGATGTTATCGAAAATAATCCCACCCGATTGACACGCGCACTATCATGGCACCCTCAAACAAGTTCTCCGTGAAGAAGAGGATCTGAAGAGAAAGACGTTCTTTGTTCGGAGCATCCCTTACCGCAACACCGATGCCCTTTTCGTTCTCCAGCGAGTCGTCTTCGCATCTCGTGCTGCTGTACCGGTACTCCATGACGAATGCTTCCGGGCCAATGTCACACGGCCGGTCGTCGATCGATTTCTCACAGGGATTGACGGTCGCTCACCGTCGTTTTAAGTCGCCATGTCCCGAATGTATATCTTTTTAATCGGTGCGAGGAAAGTGTTCACGGGAGAAGCGCGTGAGAGGGATGGTACAGAGCTCTCGTCGTGATCCGTCACATCGTAAGGATGGCATACGACGGCGAGGGAACGAGCGACAGCGCACCGACGTCGCCCACCTCGTCGTCGTCGTCGTCACCCCCGCGTTCCTCGCTCTTCCTTCGTCTTGCTTGCTACCCTGCGACTTCGGCCTTGTCGTGTTCGAGAAGCGAAGGAAAGCGAACACGGGGATCGATCCGGCCATCTGCGCCGGCGTCGCGACGCCGACGTGCTCACGACGACGCAGCCAGGGGCTTATTTCGCGGATGCGCCCATGTCCCAACTTCTACCCGGTATACAGGATGTTCCTCGAGAATTGCGAGAGGTGTGTCCGATTCCGTTCGACTCATTTTGACCTCGAGATTATTCGTAGGCTTGATGAAGATGGATAACTCTAACGGACCGTCTAATTTTCGTTGGTCAGGTGTATCCTGACTCGACAAAGAATCTTAACGGTCTAGAAACGAGTTCGTCCCGCACTTTTCCCATCAGAGTTTCGTTGAACACGAATCGATTTCACATCCCTGCCACTGATCGTTCTCATTTATATGGTATGAACGCACTCTGTATACGACTTGGATGATTCAACGTGTCCAAATGTATTCGTTATCAGCAGGAGTGGTTTTCGGAGTTCGCAACACGATGACTTGCGAACTCCGATTCCAATTTTCATCCATTTCATCCACAATCGATGAAGCGAAGCGATTTCATTCGTGCAAATAACTTCCTATTCGATTTAAGAATCTTATCAGAAAGAATCGCGAGAACGTTACTTTGAAATGGTGACAATCAATTTAAAGGGACATTGATATAAAACTAGATTTGATTATGTAAATGCAAACAAAAAAAACAATTTTACTGAAGTTTAAAATCTAGTAAATTCAATACTTGAATCAAGAACATTAAATTAAAATAAATTCAGTTAGCTTATTATTATACATAAAGTCGCTTCTTCGATCAATTTTATAATATTCTTCAATAAGAAAAAATAAATTCTTGTTTTAAGTACACAATGAGTTTTTAAAAAATAAGTATGTTATATTACAAATAAGATTATTGTCAATGTTGTTTGTTAAAGATAACCGTAACTTACCTAAAAAAAAAAAGTAAATTAAGTAATCGCTTTTTCTTAGTAATAAAATTTTTTTTTTTTCTATGTATGTAGGAAACATAATGAGCAACATAGCAAAAATTGATATTTCGGCAAACTGTTTGTCCTACGTAATTATTTTAATAATTCGACATTCAACTCTGTATCTAGCTAAATATTTAGATACATCAGCACATAAAACCCCCCGTTTTTTCCATATAATATATATATATATATATCTATAAAAGCTAACTGATCTTATGAAAAAAATAAAGATTCAATCGGTGGATCAATATGATAGGGATTTCCTATAGTAAATTCAAATTTCATTTTGTTATCACGCTTCCTCTTTTTTTTCACAAAAAGAACGGTTTTGCTGAAGTATCTAAAAATTTAGCTAGATACAGAAAATCTGAAAACAATTTTGTATTATCAAAATAATTATGTAGGAAGCTTAATGTTGATGATAATACTGGAAAGAGCTTTAACATTCTAGCAGTCCTATATAAATATTTTGATATTCCAAGCAACATAATTTTCAGATCTATATCAGTTTAATTTCCAATATCTCAACGTCGTTCTTTTTGTGTCATAATCGATGTTGTTGATAAGATAATTAAGCATTTATTGCGCTTCACGTCGCGATAACGTCGCGGACAAAGGAAGTTCCGTAAATAAAGGTAAGAGTTTAGGTGATCGAAATGACTCGACCGAACTTCCTTATCCACATCGTTCATCAAAATCCATACAACGTATACACGCACGCAACCGTTTCACCGAAGGAAAAGAGGAGTTTCCGCTTTAAGCGTATAGACATCTCGGCAAGATCTTCGCCTGATAACGCCAGCTTTTAACGAGAGGACATCGGGGAAACAATAGCAAGAAGCGGCATTTGATCCGGCGTGTGATCTCGCCGTGCGAATCGGCACGATCGTGCGCGAGGAGGCGAAACCACGTGGGGGGGGGGGGGGGGGGGGGGGGGGGGAGAAAAGATGAGAGTTCTCTCCGCGATTTCTCCTTCTTCGCACCTGAACCGTGCACACGGCGCGCCAGGTTCGCTCCGACGTTCTCCAGCTTCTTTGATTTCCGGCGTGAGGCTGCCGTAGAACCGGCACGCGTGACGACGAACAATGGAAAGCACGTCGTCGTCGGCCGAAACGAGATCGGTCGCGTGAACTGCGGCATATTCTCCGAGTAAGCATAAAGGTTTTCACAAGAAGCATACGCGAGAATCGCTGGTTAAAAGGATAAACTTCAATAGAATCGTTCGAGAAGCGGGATCGTGATGATTGTGAAAACTATAGCGACGATTAATGAATAAACATTGGTTAATTCGCGTGCGTATAAAAGAAAGAATTATAGTAAATAGGATCCTGAAATTCGCACGAGTTAACGGATCTCCTAGAGCTGCTAAGAGGCGCGAATTGACACTCTTTACACGGAAAGAATGGTTTTGCTGAAGTATATAAAAATTTATAACTGGATGTAGAAAATAAAATTTCATTAAACTATTCAAATAATTATGTACGATGCTCCAATTGGCAGCTCGAATAGCAAAACTTTTTTTGCAACATTGCTTATTATGTTTAAGTTTCGTACATAATTATTTTGATAATGGTCCAACAAAATTATTTCCAAATCTGTATTCAGCTATAATTTTTTAGGTACTTCAACAAAATTGTTCTTTTCGTGCAGCATTTGTCAATTATTTTTAAAATTTTTAATGCATCTTCGTAAACGATTATAACTTATGTAAAAAAAAAAAACGCGGATTGTGAATTATCTTCATATCTTCACATAAAAACGATTTTACTAATCTAGAAATATCTAGAAATTTATAGCTAGATACAGATTTGAAAATAACTTTGTCAGGCGATTAAAATAATTATTTATTGTTAGAAATCTTAAGTAAAACGCTACAAAAAGCCTTTACATTCTAGCAATCAGTTTCAGCGTCTTATATAATTATTTTTACAATTTAACAAAATTATTTTCAGATCTGTATCCAGCTAATCTTTAGGTGTTTCAGCGAAACCGTTCTTTCCGTGTTAATACATCGTTAGTTCACTTCATCAGGATGAGAAGCAATCTGATACTGATCAGTATCAGGATCAATGAACTGCACTGTTCACGAAACATTGGCGTTTAATAATGTATCAAGACACGAAGCAAGTCAGGTAGCTCCTTGAGAAAAAGATACCTATGGAAGCCTTAAAGGTATTATCAATTAACTCAAACATGTGAAGGCTATTTTCTATGAGACTGTATTTATCTACTCCAGTGCATCGACAGGATGAAGTGCAAGTCTAGGCAACGTAATCGCTTTTAAAGCGATTTATGACGTTTCATCATGTCACGTCCGTTCAAAGATAATTAATTCGTCACGATTCGTGCATGAGAAAGTTAATGCGAGCTGCGAAAGTGGAGATCGATATAACTTACAGGATATATCGAGATACGTTCGACAGTCGAATTGTTCTCTTTCGTCGTTAAAGGAGGCATTCAAGCATGCGAGCGATTACGCAGTGCTTATCCGCACATCATACATGAAAGCGTAGACTTCAATCGCGAATTGTAAGAAAAAAGAATTGACGATAATAATTGTAATATTCGAAACTGTTGCTCGAGCACTTAAATCGTGTGAAATGAAATTGATGTTCGATACAATGTCGAAAGGTAGCGAAATTATTGTTATTCAACGCCTTCGTGCTGCAGTGAAACGTCGAATGCAATATTCGGTCACGCGTCGCTGACTACCATTTTTACGGAAAGGAACTGAACAGGTTGTAGAGTGGTTTGGCGACACGGACACGGATGCGTGCGAATGATCTATTCACGGGTGAAGCGCGATATCCCGTTGCGGGTGGAAACACATTTGAGAAAGGGCGTTGAACCTCCACGTGGCCTTCAGCCTAGCCGTCCGCGCGATCAGCTGGTTTTTCCGCTATATGCGTACATATTGAGTATACACACGATACTTGGCATAGCGCATTCATACATATACATATATGGTATCATGAATGCATATGTACATAAGCGACCTCTCGGATATTGCGTAAATGCAATAACGGCGGAAGCCATGGACACACTCGACATCGATGGTGAACGTGGACCTTGAAGTTCAACGTCCATCGACGGTACAGTCGATGTTATTGATTGCGCTCAGTAGAAAAAGTAGCTTTGCAACCGCCGTAAGGTTCTGACTAAATTTTGCCTGCTCGAGTCTGCTTGAATAGGTTTTGCAAAGCGTCTACCGACAAATTTTGTCAGCAGGAAAGTTTCAAAAGGATCTATTATATAAAATGCTGAACAACAGAATGCTATAAAAAATATTAAAATATTAAACTAAAATTTGTTTACATGTGTGTGTGTATGTGATTTGACGATTCGAGGTAAAAGCTGAATAAGTTAGTATATTTGTCGTTAGTATATTAATCTACATTTGATAAATTCTGCTCGATTTTTGCCGTCAAAATGTTATCAAGTTATATCGATTAGCTCTAAACACAAATTTAATTGCAAACACAGATGGTATTGAATCTGCTATACTTTTCTCACCGGATTTGCTGCCAATCTGCTGGACAGTTTGCTTACTAAATATAGACCAATCATATTAAACAGGATAGTTACAAATTCCTCATCCAAAAAGTTCATAACTTTTCCCTGACTTCCAGATAAAATTTCATGATTTTCCCTACTTCCAATGAATAATATTTTGAAATTTATATTTTCACTCTGAGAGAGATTCAAAATCGTCAAACCTTTTGTTGAAAGAACAATTTAATATGCCAATATAAATTACGTTGTTGATACTGTTTGCATTTAATTGTTAAGTTGGTAGTATTCCAAAATTACGTAGGTATGCATATTAATTTTCTTTAAAACTAAGAATTTTATTTTTCTGAAAATTTTACAAAATTTCCCTGATTTCTCTTAACATTTCCTTGATTTGTAGCAATCCTGATTAAAGAATTTTATAGCAATGGTAAAACTGCTTTTTCTGCTGAGCGTACTCTCTAAATTCTTAGAAGTGGAATTTCATTCTAAGTATTTCACTTTATTATGAAAAAACACTAATTTTAAATAACTTGTATACTCTAAATTCTTTAGAGTGGTATCTTATTCTAAAGAATAAAAATTGAGCCAGTCTTGAAGAAGAGTGCGGCTCAACTTTCATTAATCTTTGACAGAGAAATTTTACTCTTGATTCACTCAAATGAGATTCACTCTTTACAGAGCAGCCTTTATCGCACTTGGAGTGGTTCTACAGCAATGATATCGAACAGATGTTGAGACGACGAAGCTCATACCTGTTTCTGGGCCTTGTCCATGATACGGTACGAGGGTGAATTGTGATGACCGGATGCTGCGACGACGGCGCCCGCCTTACGAGACACGCATTGCCCCATATAGATCCGCCAACCTTGTCCCAACACCGAATGCTATTCACATAAGAGAGTATAAATTAGTAAAAATATACAAGTACTTTGTGAATACGCGGTCGTGCGCTTACGCTAATTGTTAAAGCCATTTAGTAGAGAGCACGTAAAGTTGAAGAGACCAAGATACCCCCGTCTATATTAGTAAGCTAGAGTTTTTGCGTTATTATACGCCCGCATACCATCGACGACGACACGTATAGCGGAAAGTTAAACTGTGCGTATAACAGTCCTTATTCTGATTGCGCACCTGCCTTCCCATTCGCTTTCATTAATATTTCAGTTTGCAGTTGATCAATGGAGAATTTCCGTTCGATAGAAATGAGAATCATTAAGCGAAAAGAAAGTATAAATAGCGGAAAGATATGCAGCCATAGGGTACCAAGAAATAGACGAAGTACCACTATACCTGCAAGTCCGGGAAAAGTTTCGCGCTGATCGATAAAGCCTATTTCTCTGTCGAAAGGAGAAAATGCGCGATTTAACCAGAGGCACCGGTCGAGGTATGCCGAGGTACATCATCTATGATTATCCTTTCGCGTTACGGCACCGGTTCTCAATCTTGCAGGTCACGAACCGAACTCGCGTCCCCATTAGATACGCCAGCGTTGCGATATACAGAATGTTCCGAAGAAGAGACATTAGCAGCGAAGCGCGAAGGAAAAAAACATTGTAAGAAATATAAAACGCGGCTTTTCCTTGAAACTCGGATTCCTTTGCGGTATACCAAAGGATCTTGTAAAAATAGTTAAAAAGAAAGTTAGGTAGAAATATATAAATTACTTTAATGCATGGAAGAGAAACGTTTAATCAAATATAATCCTTCTAATGGGATCATCTGACTATCGATAATATCACGGCAAGATATGTTATAAGAGCAGTGACTGTGCTAAACTGGAAAATAGGACACGGATTTTAAAGATCCGAATCTCTCGAGCGTCGCTTTCGTCGAAAATTCGGCACAGATCGAACGCAGATGGGTATTGACCCACAAGCGCGGAACGTGATAGCAATGGCTGCGTTCAATAGAAAAAGCAGCTTTGCAACAGTTGTAAGATTCTTTAATACATAACTTCCTTTCTATGTTATACTAATTTTCTTTCCATGTTATACTTTCAATTATAATATTGCATATTCTTTAAAACTATATCATGAGTGTTCAAAATTCACATAAGATTGTGTAAATTTCATTCCCAATTAAAGTTTCGTGACACTTTTTCTGTATAAGTATCGACAAATGTGTCGTCTTTCTCTATAAAAATATATTAGTCTTTAAGAATTGATTTCTTTTTACTACGTAAAAAATGCTAATTTATTTCTGTTATTTATTACTTCTTTATCAACGTGAAGACATGTCTAAAATATGTAGTTAATTTTTACTACAAAAACATTTGTAGCGACTATCTGTACCTAGCTTCGTTTACATACGAATGATTCTTTGAAATAACAAGTACCTAAGACTACTTCGAAAAACATATCGCAGGGAGCGCCTGAGAATTTTTATTCGAAATGCATCGCATAGATGGTGAAAGGTGACCAGCACATACTACAATCTTCAAATGTAGGACAATAAATGGCACTGGCCCGATTTGTCGTAGAGAGCATTGCGGATTACATTAGTTCGTGTTCCGCGTTCCATAACGTCTCGCCGGATTGCCAAATAAAAAGGAATAATTCGGAAAGATTTTCCAAGATCCGAAGCGAAGAAGTAAGGGGTTCATTGTTAGAAATACACAGAGACATGAAATAGTCATCAATACCTAAAATAGTGTAAAATAACTGCTTTCCTTTTAACAGATATGGACGATGTATACGTCATTCTATCTTCGTCATTTATGGAATGCTAAGAAAGATATTGTAGAACAACGTTTGTATCTTCTAAAAAAAAAAAACTACCTATACATAACGACGTCAAAACCTAAGATAAGGTACAAAATACGGAATAACACATAACTTCCTTACTCCAAAGATGACACATAACTCAAAAAATTAAGTTTCTCGGAAAAGGAAGAAAGCTATTTTTTAACTGGACAGAAAATGATTGATTAATCAAATAATATCAGTAAGATATCAATGAATAATATTAGTAAAATAAGTATGTTATTAACGACAAGAATATAATCAAACGTTATTTTTGTTATTTTCGCGTTTCACAATCCTTTAAAATTACTTTTTTTAGTTGTAACGATTTTGACGATTTTTAAAAAATATTCTTTTTGAAATATAACGATTTTTTATAAAGTTAAATAAGTTACTTTTCAATGTAATAATTTACATAATAATTTAATAGTTTATCTTTTCGTATTTGACTTAAAAAAATTGCATTTATGGTACGCCAATGGATCCTTCCTCCTGACAAATTTCTGGACCGTCCGGATCTGTCAATGCATTTGGCAAAATATCGCAAAATTGTTGGCAACAATCTGATGATTTCAGAACGTTTTGGGTTCACCGTACGAGGCAATGGGTAAACGATCGCAGCTGGTGCCTCTCGCGCTGTAAATGCATGGAATCTGACCTTTCTTGTGCCGCGTTCGGCTCTCGCGTGAAATCTCGGCTTACCGTTAGCATTGAATGTTAGCAGGCACCGGAGTTGCCTTCGCAGGTGCAGGTAATTCCCTTAATCGACGCGACGATTTCATTACGTTAGTCCCTCCTGGGAGGCAAAATCGATCAGCGCTCGTCGCAAAAAAAGATCACGGGATCAAGGAACTTCCACAATACACAAACGGAACAATAACCCCGTTGACTCAGGTCGTTTCTTTCGCATTACTTGCCAATTTTTTTAAGCTCGCAATAGCCTCCTAGAAAAACGGCGAACGAAGCACCGTCTCAGTATGTTGGAATCTCCAGAGATGAGAATCTCTCCTCGAGAATCCTTCCTCGATTTCCCCGACTCGCGGCTTCTCTCGCTTCCGTGAATTCTTCTCCTTGATTCTGCGAATCTCGACTTTTGTTCCGTCGCGAATGAAATATAATACTTCCCACGCAGATCGAGAGTAAAAGGAGCAGAAAAGGATAGATTGCGAGAAAAGATAGAGAGAGAGCGAGACGTGGTTAATAGTGCGAGAAAATGACGTGCATACACCTCTTCCCCTCCCGTAGATTAGAAGCGTATGCGAATTCCTATATAGATGATGTCACCGCGTTTCCGCGATTCCTTACTCACAGAAACGAAAATCCCTTAGGCGGTTTTATGCCTGGTCTGCCGTAGAGTAATCTCGAATACACTGGAAAAAAAGAAAATAAAATCGTCGAGCTTCATGATAGAATCTCTAAATTTCACCACCTTTTCGTTTTCGAATGCGCGTTCTTCCGAAGTGAATCTTATCCAGCCTTATCGTCGGACAAAGGATATGGATTCGATAAAAAGTATCACAAAAATAAATATTGCAAAATCAACATGTAAATGCGTATACTGCGAAACATAATCTATATGACCTGGCAATTTATTTCACGAGTGACAAGACAATTGTCGTCAGTGAACACGCGTCTTATCTCTAACCATTAATTATTACTATCTCGGAGCAGCTCCGTTAAAAGCGCTTCACGACTCGGTGACGTAACGCGTCGTTGAACACGTACGTGCAGCATACACATATTCTGTTTATTTATATGACGCGGATTTAATTTATACAGTCAGTAGTTTCGAAAGTTCAGAACTGCGAGCTCCGAAACCATATATAGCAGAAAAACTTGCATCAACATTGCTGCAACGTGAGAACGAGACAATTAAAATAATATCAATTTGACGCCACATTGACCGAATTTAGTCATTTTTTTTTTTATCATGATAAAATCTCGATCTCAAATGATTTAAAAATGACTTTATATTGACTTTTTTTTTATTGTCATCCTTTTTATTTTATCATACGAGATCGAGATTTTTATCATGATCAAAAAATGACTATATTCGGTCAATATGACGTCAAATTGACATTATTTTGATCGTTTCGTTCTCCTTGATTGCAACGTTACTGCGATGTTAATGGAATGTTATAATGCTGATACAATTGCTGGTACGCTGCAATATCGATGCAATATTGTTAAAATGATCCATAAGACTGCATGTGAGGCCAATACTCATATAGGTACAGATCATTCCTTCAATAATGCAGCAATGTTGCAGCAAACAGCAGTGAATCAGCACAGATCATTTCAATAACATTATAGCGATATTGCTGTAAGCTTCTGTACTGCAATATTGCAGTAACATTGTAACGTTGAAAACAATGTGCGTATGAATACAACACAAATAAACAATATTGCAACGTTCCAGCAATATTACTACAAGTTTCTGTGCTATGAATACAGCACGGATTAGTCTAGCAAAATTACAGCAACATTGCATTATACACTGTTAAATCTAACAGAGTCAAATTTAACTTGATGTGTGTGAGCTCTGCCTCTACTCAACTGTATCGTTATTTTATGCTAAAATAAAAAACAATGGTTACATTTGATGACAATGGTTACATTTGACACTGTAGCGTCAAATTTAATTATCGTTTTAGTGCGAAATAACAATATAATTGAGTATAAGAGCAGTGACGATCCACGTTGTGTTAAATTTGACACTATAGACTTAACAATGTAACGTTGCAGCAATATTACTGCTAGAGCTATATATACATATATATATAGAACCTTTGTTAGGCTGGAATCAGACTACGCATTAAAGAATGAGATTGAAGTATGACCAATCAAAACAAAAGGACCCAAAATTTCTTCGTCCCTATTGGTGAAATTTTTATCTTCAATCTGCAATCTTCAATGTACAGTCTGATTCCGGCCTTACACTATACATGGGAGATTAACGATTATGAATTGAAAAGATTGGAATTCTACCGGTAGAATAACTTGAATTTCAATCCGTTTTGTTCTAACAGTTTGAATTTTAATATCTCTAATTCGCAATCTCCTCAATCTTCAAAATTGTATTCCCGCGGTGTGTATTATACTCCGGATTGTTTTCATAAAGGTAAGGTTAAGGGACACAGGTTAATCGACCCGTGGTGTCACGGTGTCCGCGTACCAGAGGGACACACGACGCAAAAATGACGACTCTTACCTCTTCTGCAGCTGATTCTCCCGGGTAAATCGCGCGGATACGTGGTACACATCGTAGGAACTGAACACGGGGGAGGGGTGGAGCACCTACGAGCAGCGACGCACGGGTGATCGTGCGTGCATGTCACCGCGATTTGCACAATTTGGACGGATGACGACGAGTGTCCGGAGGGCCGTTTTCGGAGTAACACACAACTCGCGTCCTCGCGACGACGTATGCGACGTAACACGACCGTGGAGTATCCTGGAGAGTATCGCTCCTCTCTTTCGTGGATTTCCCTTCGAGGGATAGATGCAGCAGGGCGCCACGCTTTTCGGCTGCCAGTAATGTCATCAAACGTTCACGACACGGACCGTGTTACTCACGCGAGCGTTCACGTATCAAGTGTGTGCACCGCACGGGATTGAGAGCAATGAGAGCCGAGCTGAGCCGAGCTGAGCCGCACCACCTGTCACTCGGATTCGATAGCACGGAACATGCGTCGTGCGACGTCACCCGGTGGCCTGTACCCCCCGCACGAAGTCGCTGTGGCCAATCAGCGTCCGACCTACAGAAAGAGGAGGTATAGGGACACAAAGTGCAGAGAGTGCAGCTGCAAGGAATTACGATTCCAGCTTAACCTTACTTTGCGCCTTGCTCGAAGATTACGTAAACACATTTGTATTATCCTGAGTTAACATGGATAACGCGACCGTCCAAAAAGTGGACGAGAACGATGAGTCCAAGGCGGTGATGTTGTTCGGCCGAGACATCAGGAAGATCCCCTGTTTCAAGCACAGCCTGCTGTACGGCATCTACAGCGGTCTCGCAACCGGCCTGGTCACCTTCATGTTTACCAGTCGTGCGAATCTATCGGCGAACATGGCCCTGGGATCCTACATGGGTGTCACTGTAGTTTACTGGTTCTACTGTCGATACAACTACGTAATGGAAAAATACGAAATGCAGCACCTGCAAAGTATCTTTCGGCAAAGGTCGATCAACCCCGAAGATAAGGCCAAGGAAAGCGTTTAGGAGCTTCAGAGAAAAACTGATACATGAAAATTGTTCCTCTGTCGCGAAAGACTTTTAAAATTATATACGACAATAATAAGAGATGCGTTGTGCGATCGTAGCATAATACAATATAATATATGTAATTAAGACTACTGTATATTATACTTGTAAAATGTTTGTAAAGAATGCTTGACAAATATCTGAGTTATTCTTAATGTTTTCAACTGTATATAATATTACATATTTATTTCATATCTGTGAAATTGTTAATTCGATTGTAATTATGTGCTCAAAAGTGTAATAATTTTTTTAAAGTATCGATAGATTATACACTAGAAAGAAAGCGTTAATTGGAATTCTGATTGAATCTATTATATCTATATATATATATATGTAATTCTAGTTGAGATACAATCAAAATTCTGATTGATGTGACCAGAATTTTCTGGTTTGTTTTTATTTTTAACTATACATTTTTCTCAATGTATGAATTTGTAGAGTTTAACGTTAAGGGCCTATCCTATAACTCTTATTGTCATAACTGTAATTTTACAGTATCGTTACTCAGGTTTTGTACATAGTAAAAAAAACTGCGCAATATTACCATAACATTACAATTACAATCGTTAAGAGTTACAGAATAAATAATTGTATAATTTAACTACTACTGTGTATATAACCACACAATTACATTATACTGTTTCAGCTAATTGATAGCGTTAAAAATAATGATTGTTTTAAGTACTAATTGATATAATGTGTCAATATATAAAAAATTGCATATTAAATTTATAATGAATTTCTGTATAATAAAATTTTTTTTTAAACATATGATTAATTTTTCCCTACATATGTGTGATTGTTTGAAGCTATTAATATCTTGAAGCTATTTCTTACATTTTTATTTAATTTATATATAATCCTACGATTTTTCATGAAATATAAAAATTTTTATATTTGTTAATTACTGTGTACTGTTAAAAATTTTTAGAATTAATGAAAGAGTGAAATCTTACTCTTAAAGATTGAGAATCGAGTCATTCTTTCAAGACTGACTTACAATTTTTACTTTTTAAAATTAGATTCTACTTCCAGGATTTAGAGAGCAAAGATTACATTCCGATAAATAATTTCCTGTATTACGCTTTTATAATAGATACACTTTATATAATGCAATTTCAATTTCTATATACATCCCATGTTTATATTGTAAATGTAAATAATCTACAAATACAAGATATAGTAAATAATCTATAAAGTGACCTCTGAGAATCTTGTGAACACAAGTGAAGCAATTCCTATAGTCACAGTGTTCTCAGAGGCGCGAAATACCGTGCGGCATTCGTATAAATTAAAATGCGTGCGGATTTAATAAAACACTAACATTTCAATTCGACTAAAAATTTGTATGTATTAAGAGATAATAACAGACAAATTGAGATAATTACTATAATGTCGCAGAACGATACGAGTGATGATGAATTTGACCAACCAAGGGTATACCTAAACACGACTTCTCACGACACTCGTAACAATTCAGGTACACTTAAGAATTACGAAATCTGTTTATATCAATCCTAGAACTACACGTTGTATTTTTACACACGCAAATCACACACTGAATCTTTCAATGGACATTTATCCTATGCACAACTCTAGTAAAGATGCATGTATTTCTCGATAAATTTATAATTGTTTTGCATACAAATGCCAGGAGGGGCATCGCAAAACAAAAATTATAAATTAAAATTCAATAAAATTTTAATGTTTTTATTAATTTTAATTTTTCATTCAAATTCCACTTGTTAAACACAAAGGACAAACAATTAAAATTTTTAAGAACGTTATTATAGCAGTTTAAAATTTTTGAATCTCTCTCTTAGAGAATCACGTCTATAGTTTTAGAATCAATTGCAATTTGGATATAATTTTGTAACAAATGTTCCTAAAGTTATATGTAGCCCGATTAGTTCCTCTTCCTCCGTTTCGAGCTCTGTAATATTCGGAAAAATTCCCGACGAAGTGCTCCGCGCCTGGAGTCAACTACCAGAGGCAATCCGCCTGGATCCGAGTTTGGCGATCTTTCAGAAGGAATGTGATCGAATAACGGAAACGAGGTGAGCGAAATAAGTTTAGAAATCGATGAGAGAGGATTTCTACGTAATGAAAGATAACGAGTTTCCAGATCTCTGGACTACGTGAAGAAAGAATGCCTGGTTGTGAATATGTCTCTTGGGATACAACCAGTCTCGACATCAATTAAGTAAACCACATCTAAATTGCCTTTTTACATATCGTGATTAAGGGAAAACTTTAACGAGATCTTACAAGACCTCAGAATGTATAAATAATTAACTCTGTATCTTCGCAGCATACAAAATCAGAACATCGACGAAGACGGGCAGGATGTGCAAATGCAGAAGATTCTGGTATCTTCGCAGCATACAAAATCAGAACATCGACGAAGACGGGCAGGATGTGCAAATGCAGAAGAAACAGAGGCCCCTTTACCGTTACATAAAGTTAATCATACTCTTCTGTTCTTGGCTACTATTCACAGTAAGAAAATCATCGGACCGATGTCAATTGATAAATCTTAAGTGCGTGGCTTCAAATTGCAGATGATACTGATGTTCAAGAACGAGAGGATTGAGACGATGCATCAGCTTTCTGTGTCTAGCAGAGAAAGTAAAAGTATCCTTCATCTTGTCAATTATGAAAACTCAATGGGATTTTAGAAGACGAAATTTTTATAGACAGTATAATGTATATAAATCAGTCAGAATACTTTCTTTAACGATATATAGATTATCGAATCAACGAACATATTATAAGTACGTTGATCAGCGTGACGATGAAAGGACCATTGGTGCCATTACAAAAAAACGAGCAGCATTTACCTGCGAATTTATCCACGTGCTATTTAATGGTACGGCTGCAGGTTCTGGTGGGCGGAAAAATCAATTCACGTCTCTCCACTACTGATTTGAAGAACTTGAAGGTGTTTATACCTTTAAACGTGTACAAAATTGTTCTCATCTGCATACACTTATGTTTGCATCGAAAGAACACGAAATCAAATCCAGCCAAGCCTGAAACAGAAAAGGAAGAAAAGGAATCAGTCATATATTAACAAACTGCTTATTAAACTTCCTTCGGCCATTCTTTTATACGTATTTCATAAAAATAATCAATCTTAATTATATTGAACGTATACTGCGCGTATTCATTTAGATAACTTTTACTGAAATGCCTAGTCAGCACAAATTAAAAGTAATATCAATATTATAATTTTGTACTTAAAAATATAAATGTTATATAACACGTACATGGTATATTACATGACAGTTACATTATGCAAAGTTATAAAACTAATGAGTATGTAAAATTTTTCAGCGCTTATACAGAATAGTTAAAAAGAAGATTTAGTTCACAAATATTTCATACTTCATCCGTCCATTGCTCCGCCGCACTCCTCATATTCATTAAATTTTAATGCCTGTCTTTATCTACCTTTCTCTACCGTGTACTTTCTTGTTATTCATTATCTTATTTATATCATCACAGCCGTAATTAAATAGTAAACCTAACGTACATTTCCTTTCGTCAAAGCCATATAATTATAACACTAATGTTATGTTACTTTTAATTGGTGTCGACTGGATTATTATTTACTGGGTAATTATAAACTGTACACCATGCTATATTTTTACAATTGTTAACTGCAGAACGTAAGCGATGTGTGGATTTTGCCGGTATTACCTGAAAATTTGGTAACTCTTTTCCCCGACCAGAAGCTTCGGAAGACTTTCCATGTAAAAGCTGACAGAAAGTACGTTAGCTTATATTTTTATTATTATTTAAATCTAACGACAATACGAATTTTGCAAAATATTTATTACAAATTTTGTCGGCAAAATGCCAGCAGAAATATATCTAAAAGTTTTATAGAAATATCTCAGAACTTCTTAACAGCGATATTTTGTTTATAGGACCCTATCGCAAGGCATAATGTTCATCAATATACGGACGAATTCGAAATCCAGTCTATCGTTTTCGATAAGCTACGATCCGTCATCAATAAATGCCGATATCGGCATACCGCTTGCCGCTGTTATCTTGATTGGCTTATACATCCTGATAATTTTTGAGGTAAGTGATATATGCAAATTGCAAATTAGGATATATTTATTCCTATCAATTCCTAAATGCTTCATCATATGTTTGACCGAATCAGGTAGTACACAGAACTCTGGCTGCCATGCTGGCATCCACAATGTCCGTCGCAACACTGGCGGCTCTAAATGAGGTAGGCGCAACTATACACCTTCTAATTTCCACGATGGAATCTTTTAAAAAAACAAATATAAAAAGTGCACTGAAAGGATATGATTTTGAAATACTTAACAACTTATAGATATAGATCTGAAAATAATTGTCATTAAATCAGCAAAATAATTACAGAACACTCGAACTATGATTGCTAGAAAACCTTTTTGCAGCCTATGCTTGAGAGTTTCACGTAATTATATTTATGATTCAACAAAATTATTTTCAGCTATTTGTATCTATATAGTTACATCTTTAGACACTTCAACAAAATCATTTTTTCTGTTTGGCATTTTATACTTTAGCGACCGAGTATGAGCGAAGTGATCTCTTGGATAGACATGGACACGCTGCTGCTATTGTTCTCCATGATGGTGCTGGTTGCCATCATCGCTGAAACTGGAGTGTTCGACTGGCTGGCAGTTTACGCTTATAAAGTGAGAAAAAGAAATTGGTATAATGTCTAAAGTAAAAAAAAAAAAATAACTGACTCTAAGATACCTTTATTCATCTTTCATTTTTAGATAACCGCCGGAAGATTGTGGCCGTTGATAATGGCCCTCTGTTTCTTCACTGCGTTTCTGTCATCACTGCTAGATAATGTAACGACCGTGCTATTAATGACGCCGGTAACTATCAGATTATGCGAGGTAATGGAGTTGAACCCAATACCAATCCTGACTGCTATGGTAGTTTATTCCAACATAGGAGGTGCTATGACACCGGTCGGCGATCCACCGAATGTCATCATCGCTTCCAATCGAG